CGTCTTCGAAAATTTCTAAAGGTCTTTCTCAATTTGTAACATTTCAGGTTGAGCTGGTTTCCCAGCGTGACCTCCTCGTTTTTCTTTTAAATATCCTGTGTTACGAAGTCTAATAACTGAATTTACAAACATCCGTGGGGCGGGATGATTTCTTAAAGGATACCTTTCCGCATACGACCTGCATACTGCGGCTGCATTTTGTTGGCACTTTCCGTATATGTTAGTATTATGTCCTCTTGATCATTGTTTTCGTAAACATGGGCCATTTTTTCGAACAAAATAAGCAGACAAATGAAAATATATGTACTATTAAAAGACTGATACAACAGATCGAACCAAAGACTCGTACTCGTACAGATAAAGTTTTCATGATTGTCGTTTTATATTCACATGGAATCAGGCAACCACAAAAAAGTTTTCAAGAGCAACTTGCCAGAGAGCTACCCAAAAACTTGGATTTGAAACTTACAAGGTAGGGTTACATTATTTTTTTATTATTTATTTTTAATACAGTATTTCTTGGCAAAAGAGAAGCCCTTATTGATAAAGATTCAGACGAAAAACAGACTAGAGTGGGCCTAAGAATACAAATTATGGTCTCCAAACCGATGGAACTCCATTTTTTAGATGTAGTGATGAAGCCAGAAATTTGCACTTTGTGGAAGGTATTATGAATACTGAAAAGTGCATTCATGTGCTTCAAAATAAGTTAATACCTCAAATTGGACAAATGCGTTCAAACAATATTGAATGTATCATCAAACAAGATAGTACCGCTTATCATACGGCTAAAAAAGTAAAAGATTGGATGTTAGAAAAAACAATATTTTATTATTAAAATAGAGGTCGAGTAGACCAGATCTATCGGCAATTGAAACCTTGTGGCATATCATGATGAAAAGTCTCTGATCCCGCAAGAACCGTTCTAGAATTGCGAACCCGTCTCCAACACATTTGGAACAGTTTTACCGCAATTGACTGCCAAACGTTAGTGGACACTCTGTCAAGACGAATCGAAGCAGTAATTAGTCCAAAAGGCGCTGTAACGCAAGTGGTGATTTGCCTCCTATTTGGTTTTGTTGATTTTTATTAATCGGCAGTATTTTTAATTTGTAAGATATTTTTCTTTGTTAAAGAATATAGTATTTTAGGCTAACATTAAATAAAAATATCGCATGTTATCAGAAATACATTTTATTATTTAATACGTTTCCGCTAATACGACAGGTTTCATAAAAAACGTAGATTTGATCATTGGGCCAACTTCACTGAGGGCTCGTAGTTACCAACATAGCAGCTAAACAACTTTTTTCTTGTTCCTCCTGTGAATATCTTTGTTTCCATTTCCATTGTTTTTTATCCACTGATTATGCAGAGTCGGAAAATTAATAGAACTACACTGAAACAAGAGTATTTTCCCAAATACAAAACACTTAGTAATATTGCGTCTCTGGCGATTCAAATGAGCGAATTGTTATATATATATATATATATATATATATATATATATATATATATATATATATCGCGGGTGCATGGGAAAAAGGTGGTAAGTCATTTTTTCGACAAAATTGGGTTAAGTCAAAAATCGGGTTTTGATATCACTCTTCATCTATGGGAATAACAAAATAAGTCATTGTCCATGCATAAATCACCTGTTTCAAATGTGCCGAATGATTTAAGTCAAATTTTACTGTGCAAATTGTTTTATGTCAGACTTACTACAAATGGATATGTTTCTTTTTAAATGTATGCAAGTGCAAAAAGATGTAAGTCCAACATATAACTTAATTTACAATAAAATGTATCACACTGGGTTGGGGAAAGTGTATTATGTCAGACATACTCATATTTACGCCAAAAAAATTGTAAATTTGATTGTGGAAATTGTATTATGTCAGACGTATGCCTATTTACACGTAAAATGCTCAGTACGTTTCAATGGGGAGAAGGTAGTATGTCAGACTTAAATCTCTTTACACGTAAACACCGAAAAAACGTTTGTGACATAAATCATTCATCGCATCTTTACTGGACAGTAAGGTTATGTTTTATGCCTAGCATGTTGTAACGTACCTAAGCAAAACAGTGTTTTAAACTAAGGCTATAAGCATAGTTAGTGCAAAATGGATAATAAAAATTCTAGAACTGACAGGATCATGCGTATGATAGAAGAAAAAATCTGTACAACCTCCACAAATGACGGTAAGTTGGCTTTCTCAAGGTAATATTGTCATATTTAAGTTTTTGAGGTTATGAAATCTACAAGTACTTGATTGGAATTTTAGCTTACAATCTGAAGTGGAAAAAGATAGTTATTATAATCTTTCATTTTATAGAAAAATGAATATGTGCCACATCACACACACATTAAATTGCGAGTCCGTAATCAAAAAGTAAATACTTGACATGGTAGCGGCAATTCAAATTTGCGATCTTGGGGTCTTTGGGGTTGATATGTTACTAATTTTTTTAAAAGCATTTTTCATTTCAGTTTTATTTGTCCATCTTGTAGTAATGTATCTTAATAAAGTAGGAGGAAAATGAATTGCTTTCCTCATAAATGCTATTTTTAGGCCATAATGAAGCTGTTACACATCTTGAAATCAGGGATTGTTTCGAAAATGTGGATGTAAATGTTGAATGTGAAACTGCTAATAAAGATCCTGTTTTTGAATGTGCTTAGAATTTGAACTACAAATTTAGTGTTTGTCTATGGAATATGATTCAGGATGAGTATTAACGTTGTTTTTGTTATAACTATCATGTTGAGCATTGTCGTCCCTTTGGAGGGATTGATTTCCTCATTGAGTCTGTCATTATTTCATATTTGTTTCAGATTCAAGCGAGGCTCCATCGGTACCTGATGATATTCGAAATCTAATTGACATTGATGATTTTGGAGACTCAGACGATTCTGTGAAGGATCCAGACTTTGAATGTAATTCCTCAACATCAGAAACAGAAGGCTTTCCTGAGAGAAAAAAGGTGAAAATTAAAACAAAAAATACTTTACAAGATAGAAAAACTGAAATAAAAGATATAGAAAATGCATCTAGTAGATCTAGAGCAACACGACGTAAGCAGCGATTACTAAAAGGGGAAACTAGAGCTGTCCGAAAAGAAAGGCAAATTAAACGTAATATAGGACATCAATATACAACTGCCAAAGGTAAGACCGTAGCCAAGCGTGTTATGAGGCTTTGAAAAAATGCAGAAATCACTGTCAAGAAAACATATCAGAGGAAGACAGAAAACAGCTCTTTGAAGAATATTGGAACATCGGCGATTATAACAGAAGAGCTGGGTTGCTGGAAATCAAAAATAAGGCAGTCTCAAGGATGAGAGCAGCCATAAAAACTAAACGGCATAATATACAAAATACAGTCCTGTATCATCTACAGCTAAATGGTAAAAATATACCGACATGTAAAGTTTGTTTTATGGCTAGTTTTGGTGAGACAGTTAGGTTTATTGATACTGTGGTTAAAAAAAAGTTGGAGGCAAAGTCAGGAATAATGTCTTTAGATCGTCGAGGAGAAAGTGCACCGGCTAATAAACGAACCGAAGCAGATATCGGGAATGTTCGTGCTCATATTCTATCTATTCCAACTTATGAAAGCCACTATACAAGAAGAGACTCCAAACAAAAATATTTTCCACCTCACATAACTCTGTGCGACCTATATGCAGAGAACAGATTGAAATATCCTGAAAACCCTGTGTCACGGTATTTATATGAGAGTGAGTTCAACACATTGAACATAAAAATTAAACAGCCTAAGAAGGATACATGTCAAACTTGCGATCAACTAAACATGCAGATTAAATTGGATGGAAATAACACTGAATTGAAGGAAAAACTAAACCAGCATCACACTCAAGCTGATTTGGCATATGAAGCCAAATCACTCGATAAGCAACTTTCAAAAAATGATCCCACAATGAAAACAATAACTTTTGATATGCAACAATGTCTACCAACTCCTTCAGTCCAGAGCTCCTTGGCATTCTATAAATGACAGTTGTGGACATATAACTTTACGGTCCATGACTGTGATGATAGCCAGGCATTCTGCTATATGTGGCATGAGGCTCTAGCAAAAAGGGGCGGTGATGATGTTAGTTCTTGCCTGTACTACTATATCATGAACGATTTACCTAGATCGGTAATGCACTTGACCATGTACTCGGATACTTGTGCCGGTCAGAACAAGAATAGTTATGTCGCAGCAATGTGTATGAAAGCTTTACAAGATTCCGAAAATCTACAAACAATAGATCACAAGTTCCTTATTGCAGGGCATACGCACATGGAGTGCGACTCGGACCTTAGTATAATAAAGAAGAAAAAAAAGAAGCATGGTTTACCGATAGAACACCCACACGACTGGGCTCAGTTGGTAAGACAATGTGGAAAGAAACACAAATTTCATGTGAAGGAAATGCGTCAGAATGATTTTTTTGCCTTTTCACTTATTTTCAAAGGCCCACTTGTAAACAGAAAGCTTACAGGATGGTTACACTTTGAGAAAACACAGATGGGAATACTATTCTATAAAACATCACATCACACAGATGAAGAATTTCAGAGTGTCGACCTTAGAAGAAAATCGGGGAAAGAAAAATTAGTATTAACAGCAAAACAAAGTTATAGGGGCCCAATCCCTATATCCGTTGAAAAGAAGAGCAATCTTTTAGATCTCCTGCCATACATCAGCGATACTTTCGCGGATTTTTATAAAAATTTAAAAACTACTGAAGATCCCAATTCCGATATTTACCCAGACGCAAGTTCAGATGATTCCGATGACTAATATTTTCATATCTTACGTATCTTTTTAGTTTTTGTGTTCTATTGTTGTATTGCCTTATATATGTATGCATAATATAATACTAGTTATCTTGTGTAAAATGAAGTAAGTAAAATTTTGTGAATTTTGGAATGTTATAAGTCAAAAAGAAATGTGAACACCATTTTATGTTAGACATTAGAAAAAAGCATTTAGTATATTCTGAATAGACCCTTTATATTATATTTCGTTAATTTTTTTAAGTGAAAAAGCATAGCCATAGCCCCGAATAATAATAAAAAGGTTCATTACTCGAAACTAACATTTTTGACTTACAACCTTTTTCCCATGCACCCGCAATATATATCACAAGTACAGATAAACAAAGTATCCAAAAAAGTTTGCTTGTGCTTGGGTTTGTTAAAACTAAAAGTACAATCACTGACTGAACACTGTAAATATGGTATAATTTGGTGAATTGAATTATGGGGATTAACACCAATAAATTATACATATAAAAATACGTCTAACCTAAGCAGCTGCGACAGACAAAGTAAACAATCAAAAAATCTGAAAATTCATCATACTTCAGTAGCGTGTATACCTACATTAAAGAAGTTTTTGACAATCGGAGTCTCCAAACCTACGAAATTTTATTACACACCTCGTATATTACAAATTCATTCATCATTTAGGGACATCCCGTAGAGTTGGGGATTGAAGGAGACTAACCTATCGGACGCCGAATCATGCCTGTCATCTTGGTCACTCTCAGTTTTGATGTAAAATTTGTGATGTAGCCCTAACGCGTCCATATTTTCAAGATTTGTGCTCCTTAAATCTGGTTTTTCTTCCAGCTTTTCAGATTCTTGGAACTCCATTTTCATCTGGTTAACTGTATCTGCTGTCGAATCAGCTCCAAGTCCAAACTCTAATTTCTCTTCAACTTTAATTCTAATGTGGTAATAAAAAGGGCGTTTTAATACAGGGCGGTCAATTTACAAGACGATTCAAAAAGGTTCCCATTCCCAGCTATTTTTTTAATAGAGTGACGAATTTCATGCATGAATAGTATATTATAGCTTTTTTAACTATATTTCTCCTGAGCATAGGTTAGCATTATTTGGAAAGGACCTCTCAACAATTACAATCGATGACTTTTTCAAGACAGATTTGAATCATATGCTTCAGAGCAACATTTTCTCATTACTTTTGTTTGGTTGATGCTATTTGTATCACTAGTGGTTTCAGCAGTTGTATAGCATTGCTATTTGCAAATAAAGATTATGGTTATTGTTAATATTGTTAGGGTGGATGTGGAACATTTCAAATGACGGTAGGGCCCCACCTTGAAGCATTCTTTCAGAGCATTAATGCCATGTGATGTTTTATGCCTCATTTTGTAGCTCCTTATGGTGGGAGCCTCGGTAGCTCGATGGTTTATGTGTCGAGGTAGCAATCCGGCATGGGAATTACGCGTCTTGAAAAGTGACCATTATGTCGTATTTTTGACATTACATACAGGGTGTCCCGTGAGGTAAAGGACAAAATTTTTCTGCGTGTTCCTCAGGTAAATTCGAGTAGAAAAATGCTTCCTTATCGAGATATGATTTTTTATTTTTAGTGGGCGAAAACCGCAATATTCTTGGAAAATTGGTTTTAACAAAAAATTTAATACTGTTCATATGAAAACAAATGTTTACAGTAATTAAAGTCCACATTCACTATGTACTGTCCGATTAATATATTAGTGTTTGTTTGTTTGTTGACGGAGTGATTGTGCCAGTTTGATTGAACTTTACAAAAAGTATTTAAATAACACTTTTCCTGGGCATTGGATCGGACGAGGGGGCGCAGTTTCTTGGTCACCCCGCTCGCCCGATTTAAATCCCTTGGATTATAACTTGAGGGGACATATGAAGTATCTAGTGTATGCAGAAAAATTGCATACCAGGCCTGAACTGCTCCATAAAATTACTGATGTCGCTGATGAGATAAGTATTAATCGTCTTGTTATTGGGAAAGCCACCAGTTACATTATTAAACCAGCTAGACTATGTTTACAGTATGAAGGTGGACACTTTGAACAACTATTGTGAATAGTTATTTTTATTGTACCTAGTAATTTTATCTTAAATAAAAGTAATTTTCCAACAATATTGTGGTTTTCCCACTATTAGCACCCTAAAAATAAAACAATCATTATCTTGATAAGGAAGTATTTTCGGACCCATGTTCATTAGACTTTTTCCACTCGAATTGACGTGAAGCACATGTATAAAAATTTTGTCTCTTACCTCCTGTATATAGGATTTTTGTGATAATATGTAGGTTTTTCTACAAGAAATCAACTTGGCACTAGCTGTTGAACACTTGTGTATGTGTTGCATCATGATGTTTCAGTTATTACTGTTTGGCCCTGTGATATAAAATCTACTTCAGAGTTGGCATTATTGGAGATTTAAGCTGAAAGTTGTATACTATAGCTAGACGGAAACGGCAGTCCATACGTTCATAGTGTGGATTTTTGTTCTAATAATATATGTTAATGATAATTCCATTGGTAAAAAAAAGTAGTTGCACATCCGGTTTTTCTTATTAAACACGGAAATTACATATGCAAATTATATGGAATTCAAAAATAGAGTCACAAGAAAAGAAAATATCTGGTTGGTGAAGTATATTAAAACAAACAAGTGAGAAAATATGGTACATACAGGAATATTCATGAAACATAAAATAGTTCTTGCATTTTACAATATTTTTGATTTCCAGTCATTTACATTTTATAGAATTTTTTTTGCAATGTCAAGTAGAAAATACAATTCGACACCTAGATGTGAGGCAGTGTGAAAATGTTTTTCATGTGTTGCGTTATTCTTAATTTATCTGTGATGTGGCTAAAAGTGTAGTGCTAATTTCCCATAATGCTTCTAAAAGTTGTTAAGAACGCAAAATCAAACGAGAAAATTGTGATTTATAACTTTTAGAAAGGACAACACAAATAACCCGACAATTTGTCGTTTTTTTTTTATGTTCTATAGGTTTTTTGCATAATAGCTCTACGATTAGCCCTTAGCAAATTGAGCTCAATTTTTGACATTCCTCAGGAATGTGGTGGGACATCAAAAAAATTTGTAATGCATATGAAATTATACTCAGACTGCCTGAAGCTATATTCTATATACATGAAGTGCTCCTAATGAATCTTCAAAAAATATTTCAAGATGGCGCTAACAACCATATTGAAATTTCTAATAAGCTAACAAACCCGTTCGAAAATTAAGTATGGGGAAACATTTTTAATGAATGTCCTGTATAAAGGTACTTATTGAATTGAATAGATCCAAAACAAAATTAGGCCCACCTATCAGATACAGCATTTTCACATTCAATTTTGATATCAAACTCTTCATTTAGTGTCCAAATGTCCATATTTTCAAACTTTGTGTTGTTCACAGTTGGTTCTGCTTCTGGTTTTTCGGATTTAACCCCAACTACTAACTGATTCTCCATTTTCACCTGGTTAACTCCATCCCAGTGTTCATCTTTGACACTAAAATAATATTACTATAACTGTCAAGCACCATCTCTAGGCGCCAGTGTTGCCACTTCTTGGACTGTTGTTGAAGGGATTTCCTTCTCTACCATTGAGAAGAGAATATAAAATATTAGGAATAATTATGAATGAGGTTGAGAGGTGATCGTGCCTTGGGAGGCTAATGTTGCAATTAAGAATAAATTTTCTGTAAAAGGAAAGTGGAATCTGTTTTTATTACTTCAAATGGAATTAGTTACTTGGCAAAATGGCTGTGATGGTTAAAATTGTATGTGAATATCCAAATACAACATGAGACAAGCTATCTCCTTGGAGAACATATTAAGCAATGGCATATTTATAAAAGAAGTACTGTGAAATGGGGTGAAATTGATCACTTACAATCGTTATATTGGAATGTCTTTTTCAAATCAGATACAATTAAATACATTCTGTAAAGTTGATGAAGAATAGCTGCGCCTGAAACTATCTTCATTATTGCTCATTACCGGAGGAGCTTATTTTGCACAAAAATAAGCAAAAACTACATGATCAGCTTTATACCTTATTTGGGGTGACTTTAATCGGCAAATAAATTCCAATGCAGAAATACATATAATTGTGTTAGTTGGTGGACAATGTGATTGATAGTTGGTCAGTTTCGTCAAATGGTTGGGAAATTATTGTGGATTTTATCTTATGGGGTCAGATTGATCACTGGGGGTGAGTTTGATCACCTAGATTATCACCATCAAATATGTAAGGCACCAAACAACAAAATATTTTGATAACACATTAAACTAAAGAGCGATAGATCGTTATTTTGATAAACTACGTAGGGATATTCAATTATTTTGAAGATAAAAATTTGGTGGTCAATGCCACCCTAGAGGAGTAATCAAGCTCACCTCAATATGGTGATCAATATGACCCCACGTTACTTAGCTAAAATTTTAGAAGAAACCCGTCAACAATATAAGGTTCACATTAAGGTTAAAGTTTTGCAAGGTACCCATGAACATGGTTGTGTAACAAAACTATGTTGTTCTTTAAATCGTACGGAAGTAGAAGACCAAATTATTACAGGTACAAAATCTATCTACAAAAAAAAATTCCTAGACTGAAAATAGTTATCAAACTCACCCCGTGAGATTAACGTCACCCCATTTCACGGTACTGAGGAACTCTACTATTTTCGAAGCTCCTAAATTTGCACTTGTATGGTAGATAGGGACACCTCAATGTAGCATATAATAAGAAAACTATTTGGAAGTTTCTTGATCTCCTATGATCAACTATTAATACATTTCTTACCTTTTCAATGTTGAACTGGAACTCATGCTCCTCTTGCTATATGGTTCCTCTACACGGCTTATTGAATGTTCAGTCTTCATTTCAGGATATATCCCATATAAAGAATAATAAAATAATTCTATCGCAGATTATTTACTCAAAGCCCTCAAATCTAAAGAAACTACCGTTGCTGCATACTCAAAAATCACATTTTAAAAACAACAACGCTAAACCGCTAACCCACAAACACAAAACACAATAATCGAATAATCTATAATCAAATCCAAGCGAATAACCACAATTTCTGTGTTATGTGCCGCGGTTATAATATGGTTCAAGATGACACACGGGTTGATGACGTCATGTTACACGAATCGCTTGAACGCGTTGGTTTTAACCGCGGTTTTGTTGCAAGTTGTTCATTTTAGAAAAGCGTGTATATAATCTCTGATTATTTTTATTATCACTTAATAATCGGTGCTTTTTCGTCTACAACTGTATATGGAAAGTTTAAATAAGAAACCTTTCATAATATTCATGGGAGAAATGTTTTTTCAGATTTTTTTTTAATGATGGAACCATGGCTTTGTAGCTATGATAACTTTCAATTCTCTCAATTTTTCCGCATGTGAAAGAAAACATTTATTGATTCAGCAGAAATGATGAAAAAAGAAATTAGCAAAACCGTATACAGGTGGATATCATCTAGTGAGTTTATATGGCCATATTTTAATATTCTTGTGGAATATGGCTACACAGGATACTTTGTTAAGCATAGGAACTACATTTAAAGTGTCCCCAACAACCGTAATGAGTATAACTAATAAGGTGCTCCACTTTATGGTAAAACTGAAGTCAGCCTGTATCATTTTTCTCAAAAATGAAGCTGAAGTACAATAACAATATCCAATACCCGGCAAAATTCTAACTTGTCACATTTCAAATAATAACCAGAAATATAAAACTACTCTTGAGTTGGGTAAATACCACAATTTTGCGGTGATAACTATGACATATAACAGCTGATTCGTGACGTCACGGATCTTATAACCAAACTGATAACTACACTCGCTTGAACGGATCGGTAAATACCAATCCAGAATGGTAAATACCGTTTCCATTTGGTTATTCGCTTGAATTTGATTTATAATCTGTGACCAGTGTTGCCAGGTGGAGTCGACGATATTTCGGTAGAATTGTTTAGAATTTTTTGGTAGTTTGAATACCGAAGAGTAAATGAAGGCATTCACTTAAAACAAATTTATTTAACTCAAACTATACTCTAAAAGAGAAGACAAAACAAAAATAAACAGTTTATATCTCACTTTAGCTAACTAAAAATAAAATATTCTTAATAATACACAGAAAAGGTATATAAAAAAATGTGTAAGCTATATTGGATAATAATTCTTCCGATTCATTTTTATCAGTCTAATTATATAGCAAATTACTATATGCTCGGCCAAAAATGCGCTCAAACGAATTTCTCCTGGAATTAATAAAATAATCTATAATAATCTCATATCTTCTCAAATAGTTTGATTAATTTTACCTACTTTAATATCATTTTCTAATTTCTTTGATGTACCTGCAACTGCAAATGACAACAGTTTTGGCTGTTTTGCTATGGTTTGCACTTTTTCATGAAATTGCCCATTTGCGTGTTTTATAAGTGCATCTCTTCCACTTTTGATATTAATATCTTTATCACAGACCATGCATATCGCATAATCGCGCCCTTTATTGCTTTTTTAAGTCAGCCTTGGAAATCTGGCAATTCTTTCCAGTCTTCCTTATAATGTTGGGCACACGCATGCGAAAAATAAATAACTGCATGACAGGCAATACTTATACTTTTTTTATATATCGAAGCAGCCGCGCAGGCAGAAGCCTAAATGTCGGAACATCGCGGCTGCTATGATGATCCCAAAGAAATTTTGTTAATACGATTTTTGAACTGCCTAAGGTTAGTAGAACTGGGAAAAGCTTCCTCTTGTAGATTGTTTCACGGGACAAAGGAGCGGTCGTAGCGGCCAGTTCTGGATGTACGAAGTTCGACACGGTTAGAATGGGACGCCAAAGTCAGGCGGGTCTGTCTGACAGGCACATCGCGCGGCGGCATCATAACAGAGAGCTCTGATGCGCAAAGCCCGTTGGTGTAGCGGTAGAAAAGGGCTAGATCGCCGATAGCCCGCCGGTGCGAAAGAGTTCCGAGACTGTCTGTTAGAGAAGAGTCATCGATCAGTCGGACCGTCCTCCTCTGGACAGCATAGAGCATGGATAATGTAGTCGAGGCTACAGCACCCCAAACGTGTGAGCAATACTCGAGGCTAGGCCTTATCTGGGCATTGTATAGAGTAAGAAGGTCATGCGGAGAAAGGTACTTTTTAGCCCTAAACAAATAGCCTAGCTTTTTCCCAGCAGCTGCAGCTATTGACGAGATGTGTTCGTGCCAAATCAAGTCCTCGGGGATCTGGACTCCGACTAGCCGGAATGAATGGCTCTTTGACAGAACTCGGCCATCCATCGAAACCGGATGAGCGCTAGGACGCTTTTTGTTCGTCAAAGTACAGTACTGTGATTTGGAAGCATTGAACTGTACAAGATTGTTGCGTCCCCAAGCAGTGATAGCCTCCAGGTCTCTTGTCAGAGAGGAAGTCGTCGATAGTCTTTTTTTTTCCAGCTCAGCGGCAGAGATCGACCGAATTCGGAATTACTAAGTACACGAAGTCATACAAATCGTACAATACAGGCATAGACTTGCTACGAGCCGCTAGGCCTAGGCAATGTAGCCAAATCATTGAGTATTTTCGGTGATTCCCCAGATGCGGAGAATCAGCGTATGTGGCACACCAATGTCAGGCAAAGAGAATAAAAATATATCTGGACTAGTACGAATAATAATAGTACTTTTGTCATTCTTTTTATCGCTATGCATCAGAAATATTTCTCTTATATAGGGAACGAAAATTATTCATTTGAAAAAAGTCCACTTTTCTGTAGATTTTGCTTTAAAATCGGTAGTTTGGTGGACTAGGACCAGAATTGGTAGATCTACCGAAAAATCGGTAGACCTGGTAACACTGTCTGTGACATATGTTACACTGGACCCAGTCACTTGTGTTGTGCCTTTTGCCATCTATTAGTGAGAAACTTAAGTATCAATTTTTTATACAGATTTCAACATTCACTCTCAAATTACAGATGCCTGCAACTCAACAACGCTGGCAGCATCTACTGGAGAACAACTTTTGGCTAGATTTCTCTCTTTGATTCCCTTTAGCTAAATAAAAAATAATTATATGTTACCAGATGGTAACTTCAGATTGTCTTATCTCGATACGAAACGAGTCGGAGGAGATAATCCAGTCGGCAAAGACTTGAATATTTTAAAAATCAATTTATCTGTCACACCCAAAATTAAGGGAATCCTTCGCGCAATTAAGAATCCTAAAAGGTTATGATTTTTTTAAAACATCATGGTTCCGTTACAGTAATTATTAAAGATGTAATGTTTGAAGCCGCGTTATAAGTTCTTGTAATTTCCTACTGTATGTACAATCGAGAAGGCATTGAAATAAAGTCTGTGTTCAAAAGTGTATTTAGGAGTGCAATTCTGAAACCATCCCGAATTTTTGTCCCATTTGTACAGATTTTTCACTTCTTGTGATTTTTTAATAATCCCCTAGGTCTAGGGATTTGAGAATAGATAATAAAAAAAACTATTTACTAAATGCGTGAGAATTCCATTGACTTTTATAGTTTAAGCGTAATCTATTCCGCACCTATAAAAATATGTCACAATAAAATAATAAAGGTTTTTTTTAACTGTTCTTAAAACTGTGAAACGTCAAAATCTATCACGGACTGGAACGTTGATAACGGAGATTTTGCAACTGTTTTCGGTTGTCCGTAGGTCCGCAGTTAATCAATTTTTGAAAGATATTCAAAACTCGGACCTCGGTATGTGGTAGGAACTTGGTTATGGGGGAAAGTTGTGAATTTAGGTAACTAAGAGTAACTAAGAAAGTGGCACTTGAAAGTTTTGTAATTCGGATTATTTTCGGAATGTCAGAATTAAAACGAATTTTCCGGAAATCGTATTTTCTCCTGACTTTTCGCCCGAGCCAAAGGGTGTCTCGGGTGAGAAAACAGAAGAGTGAGACGATCGCTGAATGTAGAAACCTTCTCGCTTCTCACGCAAATTTACTAGCCGTGAGTCTTGAGGGGCTATAAAAATGACTGAAGCAGGTTCTCGTTTGAGAAAAAAAAATCAGTTACGAACATGTACAGGGTGGCCAACTAAGAATGCGAGGTACTGTGTCTTTTGCGGCATAAACAGTTATTACTAAAACGACCAAAAGAAAACCGGCAAAATATTTTCAAGTTTCTGACATGACCGCTAAAGGGCGTAAATGCAATCTTGAATCTAAAAAAGTAATGTGATGTGTAAATTTCGCTATATTAACCTAACAGAAAATAAATTATTTTCCAAGTCGAGGATAATGTGAACTCTTTTTGTTTGAGAATTTTTTCTGAATCCCTAAAAATAAAGTGGGGGTATTCTAAGGTTTCCGTAAAAACTCAATGTATCTTCGAAAAGACCGAGCAGATTTTTAACAAACTTGGGCTAGTTGAAAAGAGCTAATCTTCGGCTACAAAAGTGTTATAATATTTGAAGTCTTTTAGTTTCACCTGTGGCCGCTAGAGGGATTTTTTCGACATTAATTAATTTTCTCAAAAAAATAAAAATAAATGCATTGCTGTGATGGTTCTATGAAAAATTAGCTAAATGGTGTCTAAACAATCTCGTTAAAACAGCATCTCGATGTATTGTTCCTAACCTAAAATTTAGGTTACAGAAAATTATATAGGAAAATAGCTTAAACTTTAATTTTTTTAAACTAACTTTTCTGGAATTTCTTTTTATTATTAAGTCGGTCCGAGTGCGACAAATGTGGCCACGCAAGACAACTGTTGAAATAAGTCTATCCACAGCGAATATTTTCCCAAAATCTTTGCACAGCACTTAAAAAATGGAAATGAAAATTGCAAAATCGACGCCACGACATCCGAAATTACCATGGCGTCCACTCGACTAGTGGAGACCTGGACCAAGATCATTAACCCTTTGACGCCGGATTTAATTTTTTTTCGAATTTGCGAATCTTTTTCTTTTAATATGGGTAAATGTGGACAATATGTTATAACTTTACACATTTTATTATTTTTTTTTAATCCTGAAATGCTTTAGAATATGGTTTCATTATGAAACCACTAGGTAGTAAAAGGAACTAATGATTTTTTTAAACAAAATTTTATTTCAAGTAATAAAAGAAGACAAATCCGATATTTTCCATTTATCGTCTGTAATACGGAAGGAAACAATTTTTGATTTGCGTTGAGGCATAATCCAACGTTGCATCTGAAATAAAAAGTTTTTGCTAAAACTAAAAAGAAGATGAAGCATTACTTTCTTTACCTGGAACAAATCCATTTCGTCCGGTGTGGTGATGATGTAGAGCTGCAATAAGCACATCTTCTTGAACTTCCATGGATTGGCATGTGTGCACAAGAATCATATCGAATTTCCTGAGGCACATTGGTTTTGAAGGTATTTTGTTGCACTGATGATATCCGCCCTTTCTTTGGAATATTTTCGTCTGCTCCAATAAGTCCCAAGCATACTGCTAGCTTGAAATCCTTCAATGTCATACATTTGCCGGACTTAGTCGTAGTATTTCGGTTCTTGAAAATTATGTATGCATTCACTAGGGATATGTCAAGTAAATACCAAAAAATGCGCAGCCACCACTTTTTAGATTTTCGATCTAATTCATAAATTGACTTCAACATGTCTAGTTTATCTACATAACCCATGTGCTTATTATACTCCAAAACTAAACGAGGACAAGCAATATCCTGCACATCTTCATTCATGTGTTCATCTGAACTCATCTTTTCTAAGTCGGCAAAATAATATTTCTTGTTCTGATCTGAAAAAAAAACACGGCATGCCTACTGGTTTCATAACGTAACCGAAGGTATTTTTGTATAAAAATATGAGCTAAATTTGGTCAAATTCAATCCCCAAATATTTTACAATCATGATCAACATCATATCATATAAATCATCTATTTACTTACCTCCCATTGTTTATCTAACAGCGAAAAATCCCCTATTTATTTTGATCAACCACCTGTTTGCTGCAACAACGCACACTGAACGTTATCATTACGCTAGGAAACCAAATACAACCGACGCAACTGTCAAAGCCTATCAGATGGAGTCTCAAGAGCACGTGACTGTATGAGGTTACGCACCAAGACCATTCGGCGATTAGAAATTAATTCTTATTCAGGTGGTTTCGTCGTGAAACCAGTAGGCGTCAAAGGGTTAAGATATGTCATTGTCATGTATGTCAATTCTGGAAATCCCTTCTAGCGTTGTCGGATATTGCGATAAGGTTGATACTCCAAAGGTTTTTCCGATTATTCCGAATACTGTGTTTTAATAAAATAGTCGAAAATCGGACAACAATTATCCATCGATGAAGTCATATTCATATTTATACCAGAAAGGATCTTGTTACTCAAAAAGCGAGTAGAAGGAAATTCACTAATCCCGGGTACATGATCGCATATGCGACTATTCGCCGTCACCCGTCGGCGGCAGTCGGACCGGGCCAGTCCGAATCGCCCGAATCAGGCAGCACAGCGGTAAGAGTGGCCACTTAGCAGTGGCGAGCTACTAGATAGGTTTGATGTTATACGATTAAATATCAGGAGGCTCCGACTTTATTTGAGAAATTATTAAATGGATATTATATATATTTTTTATTATCTATTTTGGGGGTGCTCGTGCTCATGTGCTCCTACAGTGGAACCGCCACTGTATGTCAATCCGTGTCTGTTGTATATCAATGCGTCATAAGTACCGAGTCAATCTACTTCCCGAAACATTCAGAGAACCATCATATACTGAGCAACACAAATTAAAAGTTAGGCGAAATGGGTGGGTACATTTAAGGATCATAAAATTCAGAAAAATACATGTGTACATATAAAAACAGTAAAGTCATCATTTACAAAAGCATCGCAGAACACTAAAATGGTACGTACTCCTCATGTCCAAATATTGCCAGAATATATAACTTAAAATTTATAAATATTCCTCCCGTAGCGATGTGTCAGTGATGACACCACCTCAGACCAGTTGGAATCTGTTACCGATTGCACAGTCGGCAGTGGCCTCCACGACGACGCAGCATCGCTCTGTGCACGCATTGCCAAGATATTTATGCGCACATTATACATCGGACTTTTATCATTTTATTTTCCAGTTGTTACAGGGATCAGAAACTTTTGAGTGATAAAACGTCTGACTAATACTACCTTTACAACCTCCTACCCCTTTCAAACCCTCAACCATTTTGCATCGGATTTTCAAAAGCTACAAAGCTTACTCATCCTTAGCATAGTAGCAACCTTGTGTGAAAATTTTATCAAAATCTGACCGGTACTTCTCAAATTATAGACGGTTTTGGCATAGGAAGTAAGACGGTGTTTTCATAAGTAATATCATAAGGGCATATAATTTTTTCACACTAACATTATTCTACATACACATACCTTACCCATAATTACTTGTTATCAAACGTATTGTAATTTTTGGTGACCACAGCTGGCAAGTTTTTCAGCGGGTAAACTGGAAAAAACTGCTGCGAGGTGCTGCCTTAAAGTTTTTCTATCTACGAGTAGAAACCATTTGTAATTCAAAATTGCGCGTTTGTGATTGATAGTGTGACAAATCATACTGTCGGCGCCATCTGTTGGGCGAGTCTCCTACTCGCTAGAGCTTCATGGCCGATCTCTACTTTTACGCGAATCACGACCGATCGACGCGAAGTGATCTCCAACATTCTAGATATCGCTTTGTGGTTTCCTCGCAGCGGTAATTGAACTATAACTCGGCGGCCGGGAGATGGGGCAGAGAGTACGGATTACGGTGGAGTAGCAGAGCGAGAAGTATAGTGCAGTCAATCGTGACATAAGAATTAGTCAGACATAAATAGTTGTGCATATAAATGTTTCATCCAGTTAAATAAATTAGTGCATTTCTTTTTGTGGAATCCAGTGTTTTATTCCACATCCAAAAAGAACCCAGAAAAACGCGGCAATAGAAATTAAGACGAGGAAAATAGTCGTTACAATAACATAAATGAATAAAGAGTACTTTCCCTCATTCTTTTTTACGTTTTTGCTGCTGCTAGTTTACCGCACGCGCTTTGTTATTTTAAATGTACTTATTTCTGAAAGCAAAAGTCCCAGCTTCCAGGATACCATATATTTACCGTGTAATAATAAATGCAACAACTATCAGTATTTTACACGAGGTTTTTTTCCTTTTTGTAGTTCATCGAATAATATCCGCATGATTTTTTATTCCGTGATCATCAAATGTCGATTTACAATCAAATGTCACATTACAGCATTCGTAAATATCACAACTCGACGCATTGTAAAATATGAAATAGTTCTCCAGCTAAGCTGACTAGGGATAAGGGGTAGGAAGACAGCGTTAACTACGTTTTCACTTTATTTGCTAACATAGAGGCCTCCTGGCTGATTTACAACTTGTAGCGAACAATTCGGGAAATAAAAATAACGTTGATAAATAAAAAAGTTCGTACGTCTGTAGGGCTGAGCGAATAGATACGTGCTCCTTCCGTCGAAGCTCATGCCATCTCCCCGCTCATCTCATCAAATGCCATCTTCAAGAGTTTTTTTAAATTTGCTGTCCGTATAATACCCTCATTCTTTCCTAAAGCAATAACGTAGATATCGATTTGATATGAGCCTCTTAAACATCCTATTGATACTCCGCGAGTGCTCTCAAAACGTCACGGTCATCCTCGATGTTTCTTTCCATCAGAGCTGGATATAGTCGTATATCTGTTTTTATCGTGCAAAAGTCGTCTGGTTGAACACAGTTCATAACTAAACAAACTCGGGTTTTTGAATCGAACAGCGACGGTGTCAAGCAGTGTTTACAAACATGTAACAGGGCAGTACTTGAAAATATGAATAGCGAGTATGCTTCTTCAATTTCTTACTTACGTTTTCGCTGCTGTTTTGCCGCACATTAGCTTTGTTATTTCAAACGTAGTTATTCCGAGTTTACGAGACCATGCAATCATAACACTACTTGTTATAAGTGCAGTACTGTTGCCTTGGCTGATATTAGACTTATTCGACGAATGCTTTATGCTGTTCCTGATAAAGTTACGCAGGATATGCGGTTATGTCACATGCTGGGTGTTTGTGAAAAATTAAGGAAACGCTCCAACAAAGTGAATCCAAAAAAACGCCTCCTTAATATTACTTATTACCTCAAATCAAGAACTAAAAAGAAATCCGTAAGAGTATGTCAAGCTTTTTTTGCTAAAAGTTTGGGAATATCAAAAAATCGAGTCAATACCGTTGCAAAAGTTATTCACGATGGAGGAGTGCAAAGGAAACTCGTGGGGCGATCATGTTTCCAGAAAAACAGAAGATAAAAAAAAAAATAAGAGAGTTTATTGGAAATTTAAGGGGTACCGAAAGCCATTACAACAGAAAAAAGTCTGTCTGAATATACTTGCAAGCTAATTTGAGTATTGCCAAATTGCATAAGATTTTTAACTCACAGCAACCTGCACAATATAAATCGAGTTTATCCATGTTTTCTAGAATTTTTTGTGGAGAATTTAATATAGGTTTTTCATCAGCAGCAGACTGTTGTGCTCTATGCATACGTCTTAAAGACAATATAAGAAATGAAAAAGATCCCAAAAAAAAATCTGACCTGATGATCGAACGTCGAATACATAGAAAGAGGGCAGACGCTTTCTACAAACATGCAAAAGAAGATTCTCCAAATTCAATAACTTTTTGCTTTGATATGCAGCAAGTGCAACCATTGCCTCGCACCCCCATTTCAGATGCCTTTTACTCTCACCAAGAGAGTCTCTACATATTTTGTTGCGTTGAAATGAACTCAAGGCACCCTACATTTTACACCTGGACTGAGATACAAGCTGGTCGTGGGTCAGTTCAGATAGGTTCAGCTCTATTAAATTATTTGGATTCACTGGAACTCGAAGACATTGAAGTATTAAGACTATTTTGTGACGGTTGTGGGGGCCAGAACAAAAACTCGCATATTGTACATGCGCTTTATTTTTGGCTCAAAAATAGGCCCCCCGGCACTTTAAAAGAAATCCAGTTGACTTTCCCAGTTCGAGGACATAGCTTCCTTCCAGCAGATAGGGTTTTTGGCTGTGTGGAAAAATCTTTAAGAAAAAACCCAACAATATTAAGCAAGGACGAATACTTTGAAAAATATTCTGAGTTTGGAACTGTGAAAGAACTTGGCATTGAGTGGAATCTTTACGACATTAAAAATCTGCAAGATTGTCTTAAGAAAATTGTAGGTATTTCCGACTACAAGCGAATCCTTATCAAGAAATCCCGTAATAAAATAGGACAAGATATCGTGAAAGTACAATGTCATCAGAATTTTAGACTGGAAATTTTAAATGAAGTGCCCCAACAAATTCTTAAAAAACGAAAAGAAGTTCCAATAGTATTAGAAGAAATTCCTTTAACGCGATCTCTTCCCGAGAAAAAGAAAAAATCCCTAGCTCATCTGATGGCTCAACAGTTTGGTACAACCTGGGAGAATAATGAAAATCTAGCGTGGTACAAAAATATATTGCGTGAAGCTCCACTTGAAGCAGGTGCCGTCGAAGTTCAAGAACAAAATGAGAACGAACTTTGCGATTGCCTCGAGGATGACCAAGGAATACATATTTAAATCGTTCATTATTTTTTTAACTTTTTTGATTTATAATAAACGTTTGAAAATATATCTTTGCTTTATTTCAAAAGTACAACAAAGTTTTAAAAAGATATTATACTTAGATAATAATAAAAAAATAAAAAATAAATAAAAAGGAATAAAATAAAAAAAAATAAAAAAAAATAAATAAATAAAATTAAAAAATGCCTTATTAACGTAAAAGATTTGCTATTAAACATATTTATATTAAAATAAATACTTTTTACATTATAAAGTTAGTTAACTCAAGCAAAAACAGATAAATCCATTTTGTAATTTGCAATAATTACTATGTTAATCATAAAAAAAAAACAAAAGCAGTATTTAAGAGGTCTATATCACCATATATTTCAGATACACCATTTATTTTCTTGGTTAAATTTACGGACGCCCTAATGGACGGTTTTTTGCCATTATCTCGAAACTTTATGAAATGGATTTATCTGGTTTTGGCTGATCGCTCCTCAATTTATACAGGAAAGAAGCGATGTTGGATTAAACCTTGCAGAGTATATAACTAACCATTGAACAAAACAAAGGCCAAAAGAACCTAGTCAAAATGTAAACCAAAGATTTTATGCAGAATTAAACACTCAAACGTTCCTTGTTATCGAGTTTCTTCAAGTTGACAGCATTATTCTCATTCATATAAATTTGTAAAAAAATACTTTTTGAAAAAATAAGAACAACGCTAAAAATCTGTTTTAAAGCAAGTAGAATTTATACAGGAAAGAAGCGATACTGAATTAAACCTTGTACATAACTAACCATTGAATAAAACGAAAGTCAAAAGTACCTAGTCAAAATGTAAATTCAAGATTTTATGCAGAATTAAACAATTGACCGTTCCTTGTTATTGAGTTTTTTCAAATTGATAGCATTACTCTCATTAATGTAAATTTGTAAATAATACTTTTTGAGAAAATAAGAACAATGCTAAAAATCTGTCTTAACGCAAGTATAATTTATACAGGAAAGAAGCGATGCTGGATTAAACCTTGTAGAGTACATAACTAACCATTGAACAAAACGAAGGCCAAACGAACCTAGTCAAAATGTAAACCGAAGATTTTATGCAGAATAAAACACTCAAACGTTCCTTGTTATCGAGTTTTTCAAGCTGACAGCATTATTATATATGACTTTTTGTAATGGATGTGCATAAATGAAAACCTGTCTAATGTTTATTTCTATAGTAAAGAGCGGCCGCATCCAATCCACCATACTCCAATTTGCAACAATGTTTGAACAGTTCATGAGCCATCGCACAAATATTCAGAGGTTGCAGCACTTTGTTCTCCGCATCCAGACCGTTCGACAAGTCTAAGCCGAGTTTCATGTCCCTCTGTAGATCTTCCAGTCTTTGTTCGTATATATCAAATTGTTTTCCTTTAATTTTCTCGAGCTGAAAGATATTAATATCAACCCTTATACGAGTCAATCGAAATGTCGTTAATCAAAAAACCTTATGGAATATGGAAGTCCGAGAAACATTTTTAATAATAATAATTTATTCAATTGTTGGATAGAATGGAAAAGTCTATAACAAATGAAAAGACCACCAGAAGCAGTGGTGACGGGTTAAGAATGTGTAAATCATAAATCCAAACAAAAAGCTGATCCATGCTGTAGGAACATTTGTCTATAAAAAAATGTTTTAGTTTTCTTTTAAAAACATCTAGACAGTGAGATATTTTAGAGGGTGATTCCTTGTTAACAAATATGGAAAAGTTTCTATAAACATGAGTCCGGAAATGAGTTTTCAAGATACAGGGTGAAAATTTAAAAAACATTATTGTTATCTTGGAAAATGTTTATTCGATTCTGTTGAAATTTCTCTAAAACGAAGTGAGATACGAAAAAAATACAAGAGGCAAAGAAGTTGTATTTTTAGATGCTTAATCAAACTACAGATATTAAATTTACAAAAAGGCAATGACGTAAATTTGTTTGCCTATAATATTCGCTAAGGTGGCCTCCGGGAACTAAATTAGTCTCTTAATACAAAAACTAATAAATAAATAATATTTTTCAAGATATTAATAAAATAATTAAATTTATCACCATGTATCTTGAAAATCCTGCAGTTGGACCCATGTTTATAAAAACCTTTTTAATATTTTTTAACAAGGAATTAACCTCTAAAATATCTCCGTCTATTTTTCAAACTCCTTGTATATTTAAATTTTCATTTCATTTTCCGAGCAGCTATACAGGGTGTAAACGTTATGGTAGTCATTATTGAAACAAGTCAAAAAGTTCATATGACCCATGGTCCAAAAGTCAATAGATTTTTGTCTAAATGGATTTATAGTTTACAACTTTAAGTGCTTTATATCTACCACAAAGACCACAATCTTACTAATTTTTATAATCTAATCTAAAAGTTTTTAAATAGGGGTAATTAACAAATAAATGGCATTGAGTTTTTCTAAGTTAAGCCAAAATTTTCAGTCAGTCAGTAAGTTTCATTAAATTAAATATTTAAAACACACACGAGAACAGCGCGTCGGTCTTTCATCACTCTTATCGAACCGGCAATCGATCGCAAACGGTAACAGTGGTTAGTTATCATTTTGCATAGATAAATTACTTTATTTTGTCAAGCGGAGCATCGGGCGTGTTGTTTTGTTTTTGTTCGCGTTCGTCATCGTGTTTATTTACAATGTTCTCGAATCAAGAGTTCGCCGACATGTTGTTAGTTTACGGTGGATCTCTTCAGAATTCAAATCTTGCAGCTTAAATTTATCGCGACAGATTTCGCCAACGCGTACACCCAGACAGAAGGACATTTGTGCAAGTGTACCAAAGACTTCGAGAAACAAGAAGTATTCAGCCCATTAATATTCGCACTCGTGAAAGACAGGTTACTGTAGAGCAGGAGGAACAAATTTTAAATATCGTGGAAATCAATGCAAATATCAGCACTCGGGAATTAGGTCGCCGCGTATGACTATCGCATACCATAGTCCATAGAATCCTACGAGAAAATTTGCTTTATCTCTACCATGTACAACGAGTGCAGGCCTTGTTAACAGAAGACTATCCTCGCAGACTAACATTCTGTCAGTGGTTTTTGCACAAAAACATTGAAAACCCGGATTTTTTTAAAAACATTCTAGCGACGGACGAATGTACGTTTACGGGAGACGAGATATTAAATTTCCGTAATACTCATACGTCGGCCCAAGAAAATCCTCATACCATTCGTGAAGGTCATTTCCAACAACGTTTTAAAATAAATATTTGGGCGGGTAATCTTGACGATCAGGTAATTGGCCCTTTCGAGTTACCCCAAAGTTGTCAGGAGAAGGATACCTTATCTTTCTAACCGATAACCTACCAGAACTTTTGGAACAGACCTTAGACAACATGCCATTACAACGGAGACAGAATTTGTGGTTCTTCATGACGGGGCACCACCACACATTTTTAGAAGTGTCATTCAGTATTTGAATGAACATTATCAAATCGCTGCATCGGTCGAAATGCTCCTGATCCTCAAAAATGGCCAGCAAGATCTCCTGACCTCAATCCAATGGATTTCTGGTATTGGGGAGAACTTAAAGGGATGGTTTATGGGGCTGGTCCAATAACAACTGAAGCACAACTTCGCGAAAAAAAATTTTAATGCGGCTGAAATAATAAATGGACAACTTCGAGGACCTAGAGTAAGAAGAAACTGGGTTCGTCGTAATGAAGCTTGTGTGGAAAGTGTAGCGCGACATTTTGAACACCTTCTTTAAATACAAAAAAAATGTAGGTTTTAAAAAGATAAACAATGTATGTATCAAAATTTTGTTCCCTATTTATAAGTGGATTTTTTTAATACGTTCAATAAACTTGCACACACCAGGTGAAGCTCTGAGACAGTTAGTGGCAAGTCCCTTTTTTGAATTGTTAGCATTTTACGAGTACATTATCAAATAATGAAATAATACCTAAGAGCCAAAAATAACTAACTCCATCTTTATTTACACTGCGTTACATTGTAATTTGCGTTTGGCATTGCAGCACTGTCAGATTTTCTTTTAATTTAAAGTCGCTTTTCTCTAAAAAAATGCCGTTTTGACCCCCATGTTATATGAAACTTTTTGCTTATTTTAACCCCCTCTATCACCTATTTAAATAATGACTATCATAACGTTTACACCTTGTATATACGGGCTTGTTTTTAAAAATGTTTTATTTTTATTTTATTACTCCAATCACTTCAAGCTGTGATGATAAAAACGACATGACCTACCCTAGCTTTCATATAATTGTTACAAAGCAGTGTATCTCGAAAGATTTTCTCAAAATCCTTCGATGAGACACCACAGCGCTCTGCGAGATGAAAGCCCTCAATAAGTCCAGCTAGCCAAACGCCTTTGATCAGTTGTAAAACCAGGTAAACAATGCACGCATTCCTGAAATCACAAAAAGTGGTGTTACTAATCGAAATAAGACTATAACACTAGAAAACGACGAACTGTTAGGGATCTCAGTTCACGTTTAATAGCCCAGTCACCACGTGCCTGCTAGATGCTATGCCATCTAAAGGAGGCCCCAGTAGTGAGAGGCTCAGGATTTTGGAAGGGATGGCAAACCGGCATGGGTATCACATAAAAAACCTATAGAACGTCAAAAAAACCTATAAGATGTCATCTTGCAAAGTAGGTAGTTTTAAGAGCGCAAACTGTCATTTCACGTTTGTTCATTAGGATCGTTGTGAACGTCCAACTAAGGAGGAATCACTCAACTAAACTACACGCATTATTGGTTGCATATGTTTTGTGAGGCCAAATGGTGCTTGTCTGTAGTCTTTATCTCTGAGACGAAAGTTGGTTGAATAGCAAGATCGCATCTGGATGATCATGTGTATTGGTCTGCATGTGTATAAAATCAGTGATATTTGCTTTGTGTGTACTGAATATGCCGAATATGACGGGTTATTTATATGTTGTGCTTTCTGAAGAGAGGTTATGTTCAAAGTTATAAATAACGAAAAACTGAGGAGAATTACGGGAAATCGTCACCGCGCCCGTTGTGTGTAATTACTATTAGCATGTATATGGATTGTAGTTTGACAGTGTACAGTGAATATAATTATTTCTAATCATTCTCATTTTTGAAATTCAGCAAATTTGAACATGTAATTTCCAGAATGGATAAGAAAAAGTGGATGCGCAACTAATTTCTAGCTTTGAATCTCAATTAAGTGTATTTTAGACAAGTACCCAATGTAATTATCATCAACACATACAACTTACAGCTTAGACCTCCAGTAATGCCATCACATTTTACATCACATCAAAGCCAAAGATAACAAGCCTCATAACGTTTAGGCAACACATACAACTAAGAGCTAAGTTAACATCTTGTAGAAAAATCTACCAAAAACAGCATAATGTAAAAAAAAATCTGCATGTCACTTTTCAAGATACGTGATACCCGTGCCGATTATGCTGTAAGGAGCTCCTATATACAGTGTAATTCACAATGAAACATCATACACAGGGCCGCATGTGGGGGATCTTCTATAAAACATTTTTTCCTCGAGGGCTTCATTAAAAAGAACAGCGTGTTAAAGTTTGAAAATAAAAAACAATTTTTTTAATATCCTCAAAACCGTCAACTGGAATGAACTAAAATTTGGTATGTCGATTTACCTAAGTATTGTCCACATTCAAAAGTCTTTACTTAAAATAACGTGCACCAGTGGCTTACTTTGGTGTATTCGTAAAAATAAATGTAATGATATAGAAGAATGAAGACTTTCACGGCTAATTCTAATGTAATTTAGGTTTTTAGGGCTGTTGAGTCTTGGTAGGGTTGGTCCATAGCTTTCGGCTACATCTGCGGTAGCCATCTTCAGTGACGCTGTCGGCGAGAGCGAAGTGCTCGGCTTGGCTGGTCGACTGAAACTGATCGGTAACTGGCTGAACGTGCGGTTTTATAGGCGATCGGCGGACTGAGGACTGAGTTGTCTGGTGTGGGTACTCTGGGTCTCTTGAGTGACGTGGCTTTTGCGCTGTTTTTTAGCATTGGGAACCACGTTTTGTTTAAAGCAAAGCCTTCTTCTTTTCTATTGAAATTATCATTGTGTTTATAGATTTCAATTGCTTCTGTGTACATTCGGGCTGTGTAGTGGGTGGATGTTGATAGGACTTCAATTTGGTCGAACAGAACATTGTGGCCGTCTTGGAGTGCGTGTTCGGCCACCGCTGATTTATCAGTTTGTCCCAGTCGTCAGTTTCTTTCATGCTCTTTGATGCGTGTTTGGAAGCTACGTTTAGTGGTGCCTACGTATACTTTACCACAGCAACACGGTATTCTGTATACGCCGGCACCGGTCAGGGGTCCCTAGGGTCCTTTACTGATGTTAGGAGTTGCTGGATTTTATTTGTTGGCTTGTAGATTGTCTTGACGTTGTGTTTCTGCAGCAACCTTCCTATTCTTTCCGTGATGCCTTTAATGTATGGTAGGAAGGAGGTGGTTCCTTGTCTCCTGCCGACGGTCTGCTTTTTTTGTCGTAAAACCTGTTCTATTTGTCAAGGACTCCACCAATTTCATAAGAAAGATACAGAATATACGGCTTACGCAGTTTTGATGTACGTATAGTGTCACTTTTCACAAATGTCCCACTAGACCTATCACTGGATTACCTGAAGCAAGTTTTTCCAGAATATATCCTGACCTTGTTTCGACACACCCTAACAACTACATATTTCTAGTGGAACAATCAGTTTTATGAACAATTTGACGGCGTCGCAATGGGAAGTCCGCTAAGCCCGGTAATAGACGATTTCTATATGGAAAGGTTCGAGGAAACAGCACTGAACACTGCTCCAAATCGTCCCAGTTGTTGGCTTCGGTATGTGGATGATACCTTCGTGGTATGGAGCCATGGAAGAACAGAACTAGCAGTGTTCCTAAATCACCTAAACAGCATTCACCCCAAAATCAAATTCACAATGGAGATAGAAGACGACAATCAACTGGCATTCCTAGACGTATTGGTGGTCCGACGAGAGAACTTAAAGCTGGGCACAGGGTTTACCGCAAAACAGCAAACACTGACAGATATCTACACAAGGACTCCAACCATCATCCTCGGCAAAAAAGGGGTGTCATTATAAATATGACAGACAGGGCACATCGAATTTGTGAACCTCAATACCTGCAGGCGGAACGGGATCATGTTAAAATGGTTTTACAAGCAAACGGCTATCGCAGGGAACAAATAGAACAGGTTTTACGACAAAAAGCAGACCGCCGGCAGGAGACAAGGAACAACCTGCGGGAGTCTCCTTCTTACCATACATTTAAGGCATCATGGATAGAATAGGAAGGTTGCTGCAGAAACAGGAACGTGAAGACCATCTACAAACCGACAAATGAAATCCAGCAACTCCTAACATCAGTAAAGGACCCTAGGGACCCCCTGAGCGGTGCCGTCGTATTCAGAATACTGTGTTCCTGTGGTAAAGTATACTTAGGCACCGCTAAACGTAGCTTCCAAAAACGGATCACGGAGCATGAAAGAAACTGTCGACTGGGACAAACACAATGTTCTGTTCGACCAAAATGGACTATCAACATCCACCCACTACTCAGCCCGAATATACAGAGAAGCAATTGAAATCTATAAACACAATGATAATTTCAATAGAAAAGAAGAAGGTCTTGCTTTAAACAAAACGTGGTTCCCAATTCTAAAAAACCGCACGCTCATCTAGTTACCCATTAAGTTTCAGTCGACCCGCCAAGCCAAGCACTTCGCTCTCGCCGACAGCACCGCTGTGGACCAAATCCAACTCGACCAGGGCTCAACAGCCCGAAAAACCTAAATTACAAATGATATAGAATAGAAAATAACTAAAATTTCTCATGCACAAAATATCAATCAGATCGATAGAAATGAGAGTCGGACAATACTTACCCAGCATCCCCCAGAAAAACAGAACTAGTTGAAAAAGCCTTGGCACATGATTCAATTGACTGGAACAACTCTTCATCTCCAGCTGCTAGCAATATGAAGCGGTTATTGTCTAAGCTGCTCCGCTGGATCAAAGTCTCCAAGTACCTACCGCCTTTCTTCTCAATCATATCTTTAATATCTTTCGCAGCTTCTGGGCCCATACTCGTCATTATTATCATTCCCTTATCTGGAAAGATATATCAATTTCGTCATATGGGTGTTAGACAATAGACGGAGATACAGGGTGGTAAATTTGAAAAAAAAATATAGTGGCGTCCCTTAGCGAATATTATTGACAAAAGAATGTACGTAACTTTGATATTTGTTGTTTGATTAAGCATCTAAAAATACAACTTCTTTGCCTCTTCTATTTTTTTCGTCTCACTTCGTGTTCGAGGAAAAAATAAAAAAAATGATTGTTTAATTTTTGCTAAAGATATCACAAGTGCCCTGGAAAAGAAAAAATCATTTCTGCATGTAGGTTTGACTTTTGCGCGTCAGTTTTTCTAGAAAAAAATTATACAAATAATTTTGTTTGCGAAATTTCTCTAAAAAGTTTTTGTGAGGAAATGGCAGACATGCACGTAATGTATGCACGTGCTTATAGTAACTGTTATACGGCAAGGCGCCCCCGGGTCGCCACTGGACCTAATAATTTCAATCTAATTAGGGCTAAATTAACCTCTTAATACAACAAATAGAATTGCCAAATTTCAACAGAATGGAGTAAATATTTTTTAAGATATTAATAAAAAAATGTTTTTTAAATTTATCGCCCTTTATGCTGAAAACTCATTTCCGCATTTCCGGACCCATGTTTATAGAAACTTTTTTTCATATTTAATAATAATAAATAAAAATAATGTTTTTATTCTCACAAAAGAAAATACAAAACAAGTTGCAAAACCAGTTTTATATGAACATATAGTGGGAGGGGCGAAGTTCGGCATATCCGCCCTTTCACTTAACCGCTGGCTTTAGGTTTACATCATAATAAGATAAGCATATATATAAATATATAAATGAGGTAAAAAAATATATGTATGTATAAGCAGTATCAGAGAATGGACCCTAGCGGCTAATTTGATAAATGGTATTATGAAAATACATAATGACTCCAAAGTCATACCATGCAATTACCTGCAATCGTATTTTCTTAAACCAAAAATAAGTCTCAGACAAGAATTTTGCACGCGTTGTATTTTATCAGATGTGAATTTAGTTAGACATTTGTCATAGACGACATCACAGAAGTTAAAATGCGACAGTACAAGAGAATTGCATAGTATGACTTTAGTTTTTTGGTTCATGTAATATTTTTGACCGTATATCGTATTTAAATCACAATACGCCCTTCTGGAGCACTTGTTAACATGATCCTCAAACCCTAAGTTTTTGTCAAGGTATAAGCCGAAATTACGCGCTATCGAGCTTATTTCTAATGTATTGTTATCGAGGTTTATTTTCAGCAGAGGTTCACAATGGTGTCTCCAATTTTTCGGCCCGAATAACATGTCTGTACTTTTATCCGGATTCAAGTCTAAGAATATGTTTCGAGACGATTTAGTGAGACGGTCAAGGTCTTTATTTATCAGATCAACAGCAGGCAATGTTTGAGCTGGAGGAAATGATAAGTACACTTGTGTATCATCTGCATAAAAATGAGCTTTACAAGAGTGAAGACTGAAGTATAGATTAGAGGTGTAAATAATGAACATTAGCGGACCCAGAATAGAGCCCTGAGGAACACCAATGGTAACTTTCAATGGCGTGGAGTACTTATCATTCAGCATTACCTGCTGTTGACGATCGCTGAAGTAGCTACGCATTAGAGACTCTGCATCGGCCGAGAATCCGTAAAAGTGGAGCATGGCTAAGAGTATAGGTCATGATGTATCCTATCAAATGCCTTCGTATAATCTAAGAGCAGCAAGGCAGTCAGGTTACCTTTGTCAGCACTGCATAATACATCATCCACCACTCCCAGCAATGCCGTTGCACAGCTATGCGCCGGACGGAACCCTGATTATTTATCTATAATGAGGTTATTCGTTCTTAAGTGTTCTCTTATCTGAACATCCATTATTGATTCAAGCAATTTAGACAATGTTGGCAATATACTAATATTACGCAAATCCTTGAGCTCAGATCGCTGAGCAACTTTAGGCAAAGGCACAATCAAAGCGTGCTTCCAGCAAAAAGGAAAATAGCGACGCAATATGCATTCATTAATGATATGTGTAATGAAAGGAATAATTTTGGGGCAGCAATACAATGCCTAAAATATTCCGTATATTGTTCGAACATCCTGTATCTGTATTCGTCCAGGATAAAAATCGGGAAATATAGGGGATTCATACGAGTTCTCTTTCAATGTACGAATTTCAACAAACACAGGTAAAAAAATAGCCAAAATTTAAAAATGAATGAAAACAGTCCATTTTTCTTGGCAGAAAATACCTGAATGGCAAATACGAGTACAGACCAAGGTTACCTTGCAATGTGTTTTCTTCTGGATCATGCATATTGAAATTGTTCTGAAAAAATATCTTCAGTTCGTTATCATCAGATATACATATGAATATCGTGTCAGAGTTCAACAAAAGAGATTGGGGTGTATCATGAATTGTAAGCTTGATATTGTGATCCAGGTCCTTTCTCAATGCAATTGACTTTTGAGCTGTTCTATTCCATACATTCACTGTGTGTCCAGTCTTAACGAGTTTTCCAGCAATTACCCTTCCTGAAATTAAGAAGTCATTTGAATTTTCTCAGCTTTTAATACCCTAAGAACGGGAATAGGGCGCCATTTAGATTTTGTTCGTTTGTTGAACATTTATTTTGTATAATTATTGATTTACACATTATTTGAATCACTTTTCTGTAATTTTACTTTATTGTCTATTGAAATTACATCACTCTGCATTTTGGGTATTCTTAAAGTGATTTCTTGATTTCACCTAAATCTGTTTAATTACATAAAATTTATGAATTCGGTTTAAATTACATAATGTCAAAGTAGCAAACTTTTACTGCACGACACTGGAGGCAATAATGAGCACTTCAATCTTTTCTCAAGTGCAAAAAATTCCACTTTATACAACAGTATGAGAAAAAAATACCCATTCTCAAAATATACCTCAAAAAGCCCCTTTTTGGGATAAATGTAACACTTTATTAAAATTCGATAATTTGAGTCATAGCCAGCAACTTACGGAAATTTTGAAAAATTACTTGTTTTAGTAGATAGTACAAAGATCATAAATATTCATAGAAAAATTTCCAAGATAAAAAATTGATAATTTGGCATAGCCCCAAACTTTGCTAAAAAAAACTGACTTCCTTTTCTTGCCCTATATAAGTAGATAAATAAAAGAAATATACCGATCTAATCCTGTACGAGTTCTCAAAGAGTTGGTCAAGAACCTCCCGAATAGCGCAGCTCCATATCTCTTTCCATTCCAAAAAATCGAGCTTTGAATTTGGGTAAAATTTTCCATGTTGCAAAGCAACTATCCACCAGTTTATGTACGAGGGATGACTTTTAAGAGTTTCGCATATAGAAACATAGTAGGCCGCGCGGATCGAACGTCAGTACTGAAACTTAACCTCATTCCTTAGTAAACTTAAATTCAAAGTTTCATAACAATACGTGCAGTGTTCTCACTACAGTGAATTGCAGATGCAGATGTGTATTAATCTTCGAGGAGAATACTTCGAAAAACAATAAAGTCATTTAAAACTACCTACCATGTTGTTTTATTTCCATATGCAAAACTTAAAAGACATCCCTCGTAGTAGTAGTAGTAGTAGAAAGATTTATTTAGCACATTTGGCTACACAAACAGAATAATTGTAAACAACTTAGAATTAGTAAATTCAAGCCATATGATGTATGATGTAAATGCTGGGCAAGTTATAATTGTAGATTTAACAAGTGATTCCTCAATTTTACTTTAAATTAAGTTAAGTTTTCCGGATGGAATACAGATTTGTAGCATATGTTATATTTTTTGGTCATTAAATGGAAGTCATCGTTATTTCTGGTATTATGTAAATGATGGTCGACATTTGATGATGTTAAATTAGTTAGACTTGATGGAAATATATTATTTTTTACCATATAAATGTGTATCATTACACTATATTTGATCATATTTTTTACATTGAGCCATTTTAATTTGCTAAGCATTTGTCTAATTGGAGTATATTTATCTTTATTCAGTATTATTCTCATGCACTTATTTTGTAAAATTTGCAGTCTTTCAAAAATGGAATTATTTGTTAAATATAGAATAGTCGAACAGTACAAGAAATTTAGAATGATGGTATTATAGATAATTTTTCTGCTATATGAACTCAAACATCCGGAAATTCTTGATAAGTATCCCACTTTACTACTAATCTTATTTATAACTTTTTCATAATGAATATCAAAAAATTAATCGAGAGTCAACAAAAACCCCCAGGTATTTAACATTTTCTATGAATTCAATATCTTCACCATCAATATTTAGTTGAAAATTTTTACATTGTTTTTTCCGATTAACATAGCTTTCGTTTTACTTATATTTAATTTTAATCTCTTAGATACTAACCATTTTGAAACAAGTTTCAAGTCTTCATTTATATAAGAGATACCAGTCTGAATATTTTTAGTACTTATATAAGTCGTAGTGTCATCGGCGAAAATCTGAATTTTCTGTATAAAATAAAAAGAAGTGGTCCAAGGATACTGCCCTGTGGAACACCCAACGTAATTTCAATTTTTGATGAAATAGTGTCATTAACTTTTGTAACCTGCATCCTTTTAGAAAAATAATTTCTAAACCAATCTAAAACGCTTCCTGATATACCATATGCCTTCAATTTACCTAACAAAATATCTCTATCAATTGTTTCAAATGCCCTCTTCAAATTCAAAAATACTACTATGAATTTGTTAAAGAATCGAATAAATGCATATTATTACTCCACCTATATTTCCTATGCCAATAACGCCTATTTTGAGCTGTGATACTGGAATGTTTCCAGTTTTTAATGTATCACACCATATTTCTTTGTGTTTAGTCGGTCTGTCTTCTGCACCTGGATCCGTATCGTCTCTTGTTCTCTTTTGCGACTTTGATCTTGGTCTTTTCTTGACAAAACTCTCTAGTACTATTTCGTATTCAGGATTACTTTCTACAATCTGCATATGGGTTTCTACTTCTTTTACTGCGTTTAGGAACAACCTTGTCCTTTTGTGCGTGGCATATTGGCCATAATGTTTTTTGAAGGACTTGACTTGTTTTTCTGGGACCCAGGCATAATCACGAGTTCCAAAAAAGTAAATCTGTAGAAAAATAAAAAACATATACAGGGTGGCGCATCGAAAACGAAACAGACGCATTTACTGGCAGCTCAGTTTTTTTTTTTGAAAAACGCTGAGACCCGTCGATTTAGTTTTCGAGGGGGACACAAGTTTGGCAAAAAATCACGTTAGCACGTGCAGCCCCCTAGGTGACACCACCCCCAAAATCTTAAATGGAAAGGGGGGTCGAGTGATACCTTATTTTAAAGGTCTTTCAATTCCCTTTATAATGATATAAAATTGATGTACTTCAGTTCAGTAGTTTTGAAGATTTATTTATTTAAAGCTTAAATATAACTAATACATCATCATTAGTGGAGATCAATACATTTGGCAGCAAAGTAATTTAAAAATGAAGAATGAACTGACCCTTTAGGCAAGTAAATGTTGAAAATGGCCACCATGACTCTCCATGCAATAATAAAGATTTTGCTCAAAACGTTGCCGCACATTTTGCAATATTTGAGGAGTAATTTGAAGCCACTCATTCACAATTCTTTGTCGCAGGTCTTCTAATGATGTTGGCTGAGTAGCATAGATTTTGCTTTTTAAATGACCCCGCATAAAGAAATTCAAAGGTGATCAACCTGGCGTTCTTGGGGGCCATTCAATGGCACCTCTTTTACCAATCCATTGATCTGGAAACGTCTGATCTAAATATTGTCGAACACGTAATGCGTAATGTGGTGGGGCACCATCCTGTTGGAACATCAACCTATTCGCAACGTACCGCAGATCATTCTGATTTTCAATTATGGCTGTTAATGCAGGATCTATGGCGTCCTCCAGTACTTCCAAATACATTTCACCAGTCAAATTTCTAGGTAAGAAAAAAGGACAAACAAAATGATCGTCAAAAATACCCGCAGAAACATTTAATTTTTGTGGCTGCTGTGTATGAACCTCATGATAAATTCTGGGATTAGAATCGGACCAATATCGGCAGTTATGACGATTTACTACGCCATTTAAGAAAAAGGAACATTCGTCGGAAAGCAATTGTTGAATAGAAAATGTTCATCGTTTATAAATCGTTCACTCATATCTTCACAAAATTGTAATCGCCGATCAAAATCGTCTTCATTAAGTTCTTGTACCAGGTGAATTTTATGCGGATGAAAACTATGGGCCTTTAGAATCCGTTGGACAGTATGTCGACTAACACCACACACAGTCTCCAATTTGCGGATACTTAACGTAGGATCTACATAAACTTGCCCTAAAACCCCCACTTCTATTGATTCGTTCCTTATGGAATTTTCAATGTTGCGTTTTTTATTGGCGACTGACTCAGTTTCCCGAAATTTAGCTACAAGTTCTAGAACATATTTACGATGCACGTTACTGTTTTCATGTCGCTCATTAAATATTTCTGCTGTTCTATTAGCGCACTGATTATTTCCGAAAAATATTTCGTTGTTATCAATATTAGTTTGATTTTATATTTCAATATCACTTTACTTGAAAACCGTTTTGTTAATATGATAATATGATGTGCAAACAATATATTTCATTGTCTAAAAGAAAAACAATGACTTTTTAACCTTACTAAAATAAATAAACTTTCAGACAAAATTAGATAATGTCTGAAAATTTATGCGTTAGGGATCATATAGGTATGCATATTATTTTTGTATTAATATGTTGATTTTCTTTACATATCCATTCTAAAATAGTGAGGGAGATTATCAATAGGTTTGTAGTGACAAAAACAAAGACATATTAAGACAGAGTGTTGCAAGACCTAGATTGGAAAATGGCTAAAAAAATGTAACATTTTGTTATTTTTAGACAATGCGGGATCTCATCCAAAAGACATTTGCTTAAATAATATACATGTACATCACCTTGTTGACCACTTGACGAAGCGATTATATATACTTTTAAAACTTAAGCTTAAGTAACCAAAGAAACAGTGCAAAATTGATTCCCCAAAGCAGGATTAAGTATGAAAATATGCAAAGTGAAGACTAGTTAAATGAGGCTGATACGCCTGCCCCAGAAGGTGACTTAACACTTAATGTACTTTTAGATATCCTCATAAATAAAAATTTATTGAAATTGACTGATAATGAAAACCTTTAAGATTTTTTTAACCTAGATGACAGTTTGTATGTTGAAGATCCAGATTAAGGACAAAGAATTGAAAATCCAGTTGCAATACAAAAACTTTCCCAAAGATTCTGATGTTTATGAGGTTCCAATACTAACAGAAACTATTCCAAATTATGGTAAAGCTATTAACCAGATAAAGCTGCTCAAAGGTTTTGTAAAAAATCAGGGAAATACAGCTTCATTCTATATTAAAAATTCAATTTCAAGATGCTGTTTTAAAGAAAAAGCGTAGATAAATGACAATATATGAATTTTGCATGCTTACAGTGACTGTTTACTTCATTTTTTGTGCTACCTACATATACAGTAATGGACAAAAGTATATACACAAATTAATATTGTGCTGTATTTCTTGTTTAACTTGTTTTATTAATACACCAACCTGTATATATAATTTGTTATAGCATAATACTCACTTATCTATATATATATATATAATAAATTCATTAGACTCCCTTCAATAAAAAATTAATTGAAAAAAATTGGAACTACATATGAACGACAAAAATATATAGACAACGCAAAACAATTAGCAAGTTGAAGCAAAGTTCGTTGAATTATAGAAAACCAACTATGTTTGTGTTAATATTTTGTAGCATAACCATTATTATCAATCACCGACTGGCATCGTCTCTGCATAGATTGTAGAAGTTTGTTGATATAAGCTTCATCAGTCTGTCTCCACTTTTGCTCTAAACTGGCAAAAAGCTCACCCTTGTTTGAATAATTTTTATCTCGTATTTGTTTATCTAAGTATTCCCATATATTTTCAATGGGGTTTATATCAGGAGACTGTGAAGGCCATTTGAGAACTGGTATTTTTTCATCCAGAAATAATTTCTTTGCGAGATTTGAAGTGTGCTTCGGGTCATTATCTTGCTGGAAGATTGATCTTAACAGACCCGCCTCCATGTTTGACAGTGGGCAACGTGTACTTGAGGTTCAATCTTTGTCCACTAGGACGTCTATGTAATGAACACCATCTGATCCAAACATATTGAACTTGGATTCGGCACTGAAACATACCCTCTTCCAGTAACAGATTATGATCCAATCAAGATGCAACCGTGCAAATTGTAATTGGTCCTTACCGTTTTTCCTCTGGATTAGCAGCTTCTTACTCGGGCGACGTGCAAATAACTTCAAATCATTTAATCTTCTACTTATAGTTTTTGTAGAAACACTGGCAATTCCTTTTGTTTCTATTTCAGCTTTTATTTGTCTTGGGGTTTTAAACCGATCTTTGGACGAAATTACTTTTATTAATCTAACTGATCCTGCATTTAGTTTTCTAGGCCGACCACTTCTCTTAGAGGCTTCCAAGATACCATTTTGTTTATATTTGTTCAATATTGCCCAAACTGCTTTATGCTTCAGCTTCAAATTTTTGGCAATGTTGACTTGACGTTGACCATCTTTGTATAACTCAATGATGTTAGTTTTTATATCGAAAGAAATTTCGGGACCATGCAGCATGGTCTTAACTCAATCACTCAACTTATTCCACAATACTTGATGAACACAAACTAATCCTCTTCTGACATGAAACTGTACTAAACTAATGTTGAAAAGAATTTGTCTACATATTTTTGTCCCTCATAAAAAAGTGTTATATTCAGACTTGTATTGTGTTCATTGCAGATAATGTAAAAAAAAGGAATTTAGTTTTTCTACTAATAATGCATTTGTTTATGGAGCAATGAATTATGAATTCCTTTTCTAAAGGTATTTAGGTAAATATTCATATTTGTCTATATACTTTTGTCCATTACTGTATATCTAAAGGGTAACAAACCTTTTTTCTCAAGTTTAAAGTCTTATGTTCATTTTAAAAGCGCTTATATATCTATGTTTTAAATGTCGCAGCTTCTTCAATATAAGCAGTTTTCATTAAAAACACAATTTTTGTTGTATTTACTGACACCCCTCTTGAATAGACACTTTCAGTCAGTTTTATTGGTGTCTGTCCAAAGGAGATTTCACTGTACTCCAATTTTTAATGTTTACTATTGTAAAATGGTTTACTATTGAAATAAATAAATAATCATGGTTGCCTTCCCCTTACCATAAAGCAAAAATGACTTTATAGATAAACTTTAGTTCTGCAAAAAATGCTTTGCCTTACCAATAAGATAAGAATTATACTTGTAAAAATACTTCGGTGTTCATGTTCAGTTCATCTATCCAGTTAATAAATTAGATCAGTAATTTTAGATGTGATAGTCGATGTCGCGTCCTTTTATTTCAAACCACAAGTCCAACAGAATTTTTCACTCTGGCTCAGAATATTATATAAAAGCGTGAGAAAGTTTGCCATTCTAATATTTGCTCACAGCACATTTTAAGTTGGTTTACCAATATAACATATACATTCTCAGCTTAATCCCACTTCAACAACAGGTTCTCACGCATTCCTTAATTCATACCCAAAAATAGTTTTTCTCATCAGTGCTAACTGGTTTCTCTGGTAGATCAGCTCCTGGACCAGGAGATAAAACTAGACCAGGCCAATATGGATGGCCTCGTACTTTAGCCCATACAAATTCATATGAATTAAGATTGGGTGTTACTGATTCCATAGTAGGTATTTGCTATTATTTATATTATAAATTCTTTTTCTCATTACAATATATCACTGAAAAGTGCCAGAAAACCAAAAAAGATTTTCACTTCAGAATATTATTTGTTTAATACGTTAGGCAGTTTTTGCTTTTACATAACCCCAATCTTCTAGCATTTGCAGTGTTGCCGAAACGCCGACAAAATCCCTAGGTAGTTCCTAGTCTGCAAATAGTACATTCCGAGTTTGCTCGCTATGATGAGCGTCTGACTATGGATGAATGACTCAACGACACAACACGCTCAATTACCATGCTGCAAACAGCTAGTCAGTTCCCATCATGTTTTTTTGGTTGCAGAATGCCAAGATAGTCTGCAACGGTATACTCTGAGAAGATGGGTGGTTCAGTATCAGAGTAGCAAGAGGACATCTGGATGATTGTGTGTATTGGTCTGCATGTGAATAAAATCAGTAATATTTGCTATATGTGAACAGAGTATGAATAAAATGAATGAAAACACGAAATTAGAAGCATACCGGTCACCATCAGGAGCTAGCGCATAGGCTAAGAGTTTAGTTTAGTTACCCGATTTAACCTACAAAAAGAGCCAGAGTTTTTTTAGTTCGGACCAATTCTATTAAATTCATTTTCACAGTTAAACTACCTTATTTTAGCTTTCTTCACCTTACCTACATATATACTTGTACCGTACTTGTTAGGAACTCCAGCGTCGAAGCGCTTTTTGTCAAAAATGACAGCTTTGACAAAATTTCTATGGGAATGGTGATTTTTGATACAAAGCGCTACAGATTTAGTCGATGGTATCAGATGTCTAAAAGCAAAAATCTGATAAACGATGCAGATTTTCGATACTTATTTATTTTAAGTTTCAGAAACAGTTCCCAGTGGGCAGGCGGGTACGCCACACGCTAACTTCCCAGTTCAAACAGTAATTGCTGTTACAATTTATTTGACCAACTAAGCGCCATGAAAAATGTTGTGTTAGTGGGAAAACGGACCAGATGTCGAAAAGAATGCTAAAGGGCCACACGAGCTTAAAAAGTGTCAGATCTGGCCAAATCGGGCCACCCTTGGCAACGCTGTATACTAAATATACACTATCTCATCATGTGACGTCGTTGCTAATGGAGCGTATAGATGGAGACTCTGCTCAAGCCAGGGGATGCGAAGGGAGGAATTAAAATTAAAGAAATAATTATAGTCATTTTATGGTCAATCATTCATATACAAATTATATCACCTTTTCTCACAAAGCTAAATATAATAATAATAATAATAATAATGTCTTTAGAAATCCATCCACACTGCGAGGCGAAGTTTCCCCAGGTGGCTACTCTACCACTTACTCTTGAATGCAAGTATTCCCTTCTTTAAAAATCACATTATTTACACCTGGATTGATGGGAATCGGGTTTAATAGCTGCATTATTGTTTTTTTTGAGGGCAAAGCAAATATTTTTGATAATGCTCGATATCCCCTACCACTTTGTTTATGAAGTATAAGTCCCATCAATTTGTCTTCTAAGCTATATCTGCATCCCTGTGATTTACTACCAGCCAGTGTGATCTGGCTTTTGATAAAAGTAGCTATAGTGCTGTCCAATTGCTGCAATGCCTCATTTAATACTTCTCTTGTACTTCTGGTACTTCTAATCAACCTTCTTGTATATCCTAGTCTTCTGTTAGCTCTAGAGAGGTGACTGGCTATCTTATATAGGTTTTTAGCTTTTGGACTTAAGTGGGTTTCTCTGGTTACGTGTACCTTATGCAATAATCCAGATTCTGTCCTTGAGGAACCTTGAAATAAAGAATGAAATTGATATATTATATATTATTATTTTGATTTTACATTTATTTACTCACATTGTTTGATATCTTTGTACATTGAGTGAATAAATATTATTATTATTATTATATATGTTAAGAATCCATTACAACTGTATTTTTACAAGACAATACATTCAATAAAATGTTCCATTTGTAAATAAATGCAAGTGATTGATAGTCAAAGTTGACCAAACTTCGTTTTAAAGTTTATATTGTGCTGATGTGATTTGAAATTATTATTATTAGTAGGTATTATTGTGTATAGAAACCAAACTTCTATTAAGATTTGCTTTTTTTGAAAACAGTGTTTCACTTGGTATAATAGGCTAAGATATTCATGAAAAATTACTTTACTCACTTGCTTCTGAATAATGCTCCTCACTCCTTCTACTGTAGTTACATCAAGATTTTCTGGTTGTGAGGTGGTAACTGAGCAAACTTCTCCCAACTGTTGTGATGATGCTGAAGTTGATGGTTTTCCTGTAACCACACAATTTACACTATCAAAAAAAAATTACATGATCAATTTTATAATGTTTCATACAGTTACTGTGCTATCATCAATAAACTGTTTTGGAGCCCATTCTGGGAATGATTGAAACAACTACCAATGAGATTTTTGCAGTTAAGATAATGCTATCTCTAATTTCCCTGTATAAATATTCACCTTATAACATTCCTAGTGTTAACTGGAGCTCAGTCTAACTTATTCCAAATATAAATGATTACCATCAATGAGTTGAAATGAGTTTTAAATGGAAAATATTAACTATATACTTCGTTTATTGAAGACAGACACCAAACCCAACAATGTTCACACATATTTTATGTAACTTGCTACATGCACTGTGTTGTCTGCCAATGCCAAACTAGGAGGGTGGAGCAGGAGACAACACAAAGGTGCATGTAGCCTCACCAGTCATGTAAAATAGGCATGTATATGTTTGGATTTACTCTTCCTTCGATAAACAGACTATAGTTATGTAGTATCAATCACTTGTACTAAACACTGTTGAAAGTCACTACTTATAACAGTTTCCAAAAAGCTGAATATACGTAGTCATGCCATAAGTTCTGTCCCTCGTTTTCAAACAAGTGTAGACCTGTTAATACTTGTCCGATTGTTTACATTGTGGTGTCAGTTGATTAAGCGCTTTTCGGGTAATTACATATACCTCAGTTTGTATTGATCTCTCGAAGCATAACGATGGAGTGGGGCAAGGCAGAGAACCGTATTGCAGTGATAGCTTTACATAAGTGTAATCACAGTGCTAGTCAGATTTTTGAACTCTTACGCGGCCTTCAAATATCGCGTAAATTTGTGTCTAGGACCATTCAGCGGTACAATGAGACGTCCTCTGTTGATGACAGGCCAAGAAGCGGAAGACCTCGTCAAGTAAGGACTCCAGCAGCCATCAAAGCCGTAAAAGCCAGGATTCAAAAGAATCCACTCCGGAAGCAGAAGATCCTATCCAGGGAAATGAAGATTCCTGTCCGGACGATGTCGCGCATCATTAAACAAGACCTAGGGCTAGGGGCTTACCGGAGACGTACGGGCCAGCGACTTACGGCCACCTTGCGACACATCAGGGCGACAAGATCCAAGAAGCTCTTGGAGAGGTACGCAGCTGGGGGATTCCGAAAGATTTTGTTCACGGATGAGAAAATCTTCACCATAGAAGAAAAATTCAACCGACAAAATGACAAAGTGTATGCAAGGAGTTCACAGGAAGCTTCGGAGATCATTCCGAGAGTTGAGAGAGGCCACCACCCTGCGTCAGTCATGGTTTGGTGGGGGGTGTCCTACGAAGGGGTCACTCAGCTCCATTTCTGTAAACAGGGCGTGAAAACAAAAGCGGCAAACTATCAGAGCGACATACTGGATCCTATCGTCAAGCCTTTAAGTGGTACATTGTTTGCCAACCAACACTGGGTCTACCAGCAGGATTCCGCCCCCGCTCACAAGGCTAAGAGTACGCAGCGCTGGCTGGAAAGCAATGTGCCAGAGTTCATTGCTGCGGAAGATTGGCCCTCAGGGAGTCCGGACCTCAATCCTTTAGACTACAAGTTGTGGGACCTGCTAGAGCAGTTGGCCTGCTCCAAAGCCCACCGTAATATCGAGTCCCTGAAAGCGGATTTGATCCGATCAGCGGCAGCTATTCCTTTGGAAGCTGTGCGTGCAGTGATAGATGAGTGGCCCGCGAGATTGAAGCAGTGTGTGAAGGCCAAGGGGGGACATTTTGAATAAAACTGTTTGATTATGAATTCTAAAAATGTTGTCGAATAAATAATATCTTTCATATAAATATATCTTATCTTGTTTCATTTTTATCATGAGATTATCATGGGACAGAACTTATGGCACGACTACGTATGTAAGTGAAGTTGAGATATGTAAAATTGGATGATACTAAAAATAAAACAAACCAACATACCAAGAATTTCATCAGTCGTGTTGGATATTTGTTGATCAGGAACCTCTGCCGTATTGAAACACTGTCCTGACAGCTTCTAACTGCACATTTGCGGTACCGAGACATGGTTTCTGAAAAACAACAATCAGTTATAAAAATATGTTCAAGTTAAATGACTCAAGGAAATAGAAATGTCGCTAAGCTCTAAAAAGACATTACAACATAAAAAAATCAAATTTAACTTTTGCAGTTGTAATAATGTAGTAATACTGTAATGACACAATATTAAAATTGATGATTTTAGTAACATATTTAGATAAGCAGGACCGTTGAGAAATAAGCTCAGGCTGCTATGCCGGAAAATTCTCGAGCCCCCATGCCGAAATATTCTCGGGCCCTTTTCTTGACATGAGCGAACCTAAGGACGTCTGTCCAGTTCAGTAAGCGAGCCTCGGGCTCCCCTCAGCGCCGGACCCCCCTTGCTGAGCCACGAGCTCCTCTCTTGTCGACGGCCCTGAAGTTTTGTACCCATCATCTTAGCCTATGAAACTAGATTATATCACTACACTTACATGCTGCAATAAACAAGTGCCGTAATCACTCAAATTTCACCACACATAAACAAAAAATAAAAGTATTAAACGGTCCAAACACAAAGAAGAAAGGAAGCATCCACAACGATAATCCGTTTTCACAAGATACAGAAGAACTCAGTAAGGAAAGAACCAACTGGTTTATCATCTCTGGGTTTATGCCGTTTATGTTTATCTCTGGGCTCTGGACCGGTATTCTCGTTCTCCAAAATGCTAAGCGTTTTCCAGTCGCTCAGCGAATATGTCATCATTTGCACTTGCTTTCGACGCACTTGCCAAAATATGGTATTCCCGTTGCCCGAACGCTCAGCTTTTTGAAAAGCGCTTGTCGCTTTCAAAACGACTACCAAGTGGTCGGTGTTTTGCTTATCGCTTTCGTTATGAGTACTGACACTGCTGTCAGAATTCTTATTTAGATAGTGATTTTTGTTGTAATTGATGCTACTGTGGCCCTCATATTTAGATAATTATATCCAAAGTATACCTAGTAATGGCATATCAGTTTGCTGGGGTTAATTTAATCCGGATTATTGAGCATGTGGAGAGGCAAAGATTCAATGCCGATGATCCGTTCGAATTCTCTGACTTTAATTTTGTGAAATTCTGCGAAAACAGGACGTGCAAAATTTGGAAGAAATGTTACAGCCATTTTTACCAGTACATTCTAGATCGCACGCGATAAGTAATCGCACGAAGGTAAGTAACAATAATAATGAAGTACTTGTACTTCCAAGATTGACAAAAAATCTTATATATACGATTGATAAAATAGTGATATTTGCATTATAACAACCTAGTGTACATTAATGTTTTAGATACTGTCTGCCTTGCGTTTCTTTGCAAGTGGAAGCTACCAGCTGGATGTAGGCAGAAATCATACAGTAACTCTCAGCCAGCCATCGATTTCAAGAACTTTACATGAGGTGTTGGGAGCATTCAACACTCCAGAAATATTGAATAGATATGTCCATTTTCCAAACACAATTCAAGAGTTAACCAACACCAGAGAAAGGTATATTTCAATTTAGAATTATAAATATATATGAGGAACTATCATGATGTTGTCCTACACTACGTTTCTTCAAAGCTATTCAATAAGATGATCAAAATTTGATGGTCAAGCTGTACCTATATTGATTTTATTTTGTCTAGATTTTTCGCAAAGTACCAGGTACCTGGAATTATAGGCTGTATTGATTGCACTCACATAGGTATTGTGTGCCCAATCGAAAATGAACATATATATATATATATATCAATAGGAAACATTACCATTCCCTCAATGTACAGATGGTAAGCTACCCTTACATCCATAAATGCATGGAATAATTTTAATTTCTCATATAAAGAAACTTTCAATGCACAAAGCGTCAACCCCTAATCAAATTTTCTCTGACTCTGCATAGATTACAACTGAAATTTTGCACCAAAGTCAACCTGCATACTTGACACTTGTTTATTGCAGATATGTGATGAAAATTTGAAAATAATGAACGTAAACAGTCGCTTTCCTGGCAGCACCCATGATAGTTTTATATGGAGTCAGTCACGAGTCGGGGAATTTTTGAGAACATTGTCTGAAGAATATATGGGCAGCTTCTATTTACTAGGTGAAATATGTCTATATGTTGTACCCTTGGATCTACTAAAAGATAGTATTTTCTTTTAAGGTGACTCTGGATACCCTCTACGCCCCTGGTTGATAACCCCTTACCTACCAGAACCACCTCAAGACACTCCAGAATCAAGGTTCAATAAAAAAATTAAGCATATCCGGGTTTCCATAGAACAATGCTTTGGGTTATTAAAAAACAGATTTAGGTGTCTACTGAAAGATAGAGTTTTACATTATGCACCAGAAACTTGTGCAAAAATCGTAAACAGTTGTGCCGTGTTGCACAACTTATGCTTAGAAAATAATATTCCATTATATAATGATCAGGAAGATGTAGGTGATGGTAACAACTTCAGTGACGCCTTGGCAGAAGAGAGGGGCAACTTGCCACATAATAATTTTTTGGAGAGGGGTCGACACATACGAAATTTCCTAGCGAGAACTTATTTTTGAAATAAATGAATGGATACACTATAGTATATTTATCACAATAAAAGAGTAGTCTAGAACAAAGATAACTTTATTTTTAACTATACCACACATCTCATTACAACAAAACCTTATACTCTGATCATAAAAAATATATAAAATAAAAATACAGACAAAAACAAACAAAAGAAGCTATGATGCATATTTTTTAGCAATTGTTTCTGAACTAGAAGCAATTCTTTCTAAAACTTCAATTTTTTTTTTATAATAATTTTCCTTTATTTGATTTAGTTGCAGGTGTGCTGCAACTAAATCGTTCGCGGCCTGGACTGATGATGGTATTGAATTTGTCTGCCTACACCTTTTAGTGCCATGTGGTGGTCTCACGCGTTTAAGGTTCTTTTCCTTAATATTATTTGGACACAGGTTTTCCTTGTCCTTGTCCCCTACAAAAATCCAACCCGTATGTCCTCGAGTTCGTTCTGCGGGGCGGCCTTGGGCGCTGAACCGTGTGCGACCGTGTAGGGGGGGCAACGGGGTGCCGGTCTTGCGGTGGACCGCCTCGATTAGTTTTTGAGGAGACCCGCCGGAAAGCCGGTAGCCCGGCCAATCGAATGATTCGTTGAGCCACAGGTGTCTCGGATGTATATCTGGGACGCCTGCAGCTCAACGGTCATCATGGGCAATGGTACGTTACCCAACCCAAGGTGTTAAGCGATTCCGTGCCGAGGGGTGCGTGGCGGTGGGGATGCACCGTCTTAAACGGAGCCTCTGGGACACCGGGCGACCTCCCAGAGTATCCAGCCTTGCGTCCGTGTAGGGGCACCGCGGACGTCGATCACCACTTCCCCTATACTCGTGGGAACATTATGGAACCAAACGATAGCAAAAATAATAAAAAACCCGAGGCCCCCCCGTACAGGGGACCCCGAACATCCAGGCGACCCCTCACCAGGGGACCCTGATCGTACTCTGACAGAGGAATCTGTCAGAAGCTTAGCGAGAGAGCTAGCGGAAAGGGTGGGCTTTCTAAAGATTAAGAAGAAGTCTCGGCCAGGTTCCGAAAGGAAAAGGGCTCGGAAGCGGAGAGAGGCGCAGATGACGGAGGGCTCGGAAGGTCGGGGCACCACTTCTGGGACCCCGGCTGGACGGACCCAACCGCCATCTGGGCTAGACGGTGCGCAATCCGGTGTGTCAGCGGAGACCCTAAAGCGGCCCGGTGACGGGAAGCGGCAGAGGTCTGCCGGTGGGACACCGGAGGGCGCATCCTCGCGGAAGAAGCCTCGCACTGCGACGCATGCGCAAATTAGTTATGCGCGAGCGTCCCAAGCGGGTCTCAGGGTGGCCGTCGTGTCCGACGGTTATCCTGGGACTCAACTTACTAATGTACAGGTGCAGCAGGTCCAGGAGGCGGTCAGTGTGCTGATAGATGGGATCCCAGATGAGGTGACCCTTCCCAGGTACATTGACTGCTACCTCTCTCGAGGGGCAGCCATCTTTGTCTGCGAGGACGAATCCTCTAGGGCATGGTTGGAGGCCCACGTGGGGGATCTGCGGCCGTGGGAAGGCGCAAGGCTCATTACGATGAGCTTTGGAGACCTTCCCATATACCACCGCGTGATGGCCTGGTTTCCGGGTCCCAACCTGGACAACGAGGTCATCACGAGGAGACTCAGGAGGCACAATCCTGGGACTTTTCCCAGCGCGTGGAGTCTACTTGAGAGGAAGGAAGAGCCGATAGGTGTCCGACTTGTCCTCTCAGTTGATTCCATAAGCTGGAAGGTCATTGTAGGTAACGGCAACAGGCTGTGTTGCGGTGGAAGTTCGGGGGTGTTTACACTCCTGAGCAAGAAGAAGAGCAGTGGAGCGACACCTGCTGGAACTGGCCTGGCTCCAAACCAGGAGTCGGACCAGGAACCCTGGCTGAGAAACGGTTCAGTAAACGGGCTTAGTATACCGGGCTATACGCTTTTTAGCGATACTCCGGACACTAAGCCCAGAGCTTGCGTAATGACTTCCGTCAACTCATGGCAACTTAAAGAATTTACATTCAGAGACTTAGTTGCAGTCAGAATTAGATATAAGAAGGAAGGCAGTGACAGGGACTTGGTTGTCTGTTCGGCTTACCTTCCTTACGATTCAAGAGACCCTCCTCCGTCTAAGGAAATGGGGGACCTTGTCGCATTCTGTAGGGATTCTGGACTCGACCTTGTGATTGGATGCGACAGTAATGCCCATCACGTTGCGTGGGGCAGCTTGAACACCAACAGACGGGGCGAAGACCTGATGGAGTTTCTTGGGGCATCGAACCTTGAGGTTCTGAATGTCGGTAACATGCCCACTTTCAGCAATAGTGTAAGAGAAGAGGTTATCGACGTAACACTGAGCACGCTTAACTTAGCTCAGGACATCAGGGACTGGAAAGTGTCTCTAACACCCTCTCTATCGGATCACAGGTATATACTGTTCAAGACTGATGGAGAGATTCCGGATAAATATGCTCGGAATCCCAGGCATACTAGATGGGGGTCCTTTAGGGCAGACATTGACAGTAAGCTTGGAGCGGTCCCATACAGGCTTGGCAGGGGCTCTGACATAGAAGCAGCTGTCGAGTCTCTGAGCAGGGACTTGACGGCCGCATATGAGGAAAACTGCCCGTTACGCAAAGTACAAGGTAAGGGCAAGGCAACCTTCTGGACCAAAGATTTAGAGGATAGAAAACGAGCGGTGCACAAACTTCTTAGCAGAGTTAAGCACAGGAGAGGTTCTCCTCTATGGGAAGAATACAAAAAGGCATTGCAGGAGTACAAAAAGGAGATTAGAAGGGCCTCCAGAGAATCCTGGAGGCACTTCTGTCAGTCCATAAATGACATTCCTGCTACTGCAAGAATACACAGAGTCCTATGCAAAGACATTAAAGCAAGATTGGGATCTCTGCATGATCCCTCGGGGGGGAACACTACTTCCGAGGAAGATACTCTGAGGCTTCTGATGGATACGCACTTTCCCGGTTCCACAGTAGCGCGATCAATCACAGAGTGCATGCAGTTGCGCAGGCCCTCAAGGGAGGACTGGCGCACGGCAAGGGAGATTGTCACCTTCGAAAGGACGGTATGGGCAGTAGATTCGTTTGCCCCATACAAAAGTCCAGGTCTGGACGGCGTATTTCCGGCCATGTTACAGCAGGGACGGATTTTGGTTGTTCCTTACCTGTTGAATGTGTTTCGAGCATGTGTGGCCACGGGCTTCACACCTAGAAGTTGGCGGCAGGCTAAAGTGGTATTCATTCCTAAACCGGGCAGAGATAGATATACTGGCCCGAAGGATTTTCGACCGATTACTCTTTCATCTTTTGTGCTTAAGACCCTGGAAAGGATAGTTGATAGATACCTAAGGGATGGCCCACTGGAAAGGTGTGTCATTCATGCAAATCAGTTTGCATACCAAGCTGGAAAATCGACTGATCTGGCCTTACACAATCTGGTCGGGAGGCTGGAGAAGACTCTAGATCAGCGAGAAGTGGCACTCGTGGCCTTCTTAGATATTGAAGGTGCATTTAATTGCACCACAACCGACTCTATCAGACAGGCCTTGGTTAGACACGGGGTTGGATCAATCCTAATAGATTGGGTCCTCTCTACTCTGGAGGGTCGGGTAACAACAGCTATGCTGAATAACGTAAGCTGCAGCGTGAACGTAGCTAGAGGCTGCCCTCAGGGTGGAGTTCTGTCACCCCTACTGTGGTGTATCGTGGTGAACGAACTGCTCGTTAGGCTCAACAGTATGGGTGTCTACGTGCAAGCCTATGCTGATGACGTAAGCATAGTGGTTAGGGGGCGTTTCTGTAGAACAGTCTCGGAAATTATGCAGGGCGCTCTGCGCTCCGTGGAATCGTGGTGTAGGGAAGTCGATCTTTCTGTTAATGCTGAAAAGTCCGAGCTGATCCTATTCACTAGGAGAAGAAGGCTTGACGGACTGGTCATGCCTACCTTCTTTGGGACTAGATTAGTTTTGTCCCAGTCAGTGAAATATCTGGGAATTATCCTGGACTGCAAACTGAACTGGAGAGAGCATGTGGAACACAAGGTTAGCAAGGCTCGCAATTCGATGTGGGCTTGTAGACGTGTTGTCGGTGTAAGGTGGGGGCTTAAACCCAAAGTGGTATACTGGCTCTGCACGACGATAGTACGTCCATCTCTCTTGTACGGCTCCCTGGTCTGGGGGTCTTGCATTAGAACTGAGTCAACTAAGGCTAAACTCAATAAAATTCAGCGTTTGGCCTGTATTAGCATTACAAGCGCAGTGCGAACAACGCCATTGAGTGCAGTGGAAGCTCTGTTGGATCTCCCACCGTTGGATCTGGTGATCCGCGGTGAAGCGAGAGTAGTCGCTCATCGACTGTGGAGTCAGGGCAGCTGGGCTTTCTTGAATCCGGTCAAGGGGCATACTGCCATATTAGTCGAATTAGAAAGGGAGGACCCCGTCCTTCTAAGCAGGGGTGATCGTATTACCCCTAAATATCGCTTCAACCGCAAGTTCATTGTGGAGTACCCCCCACGAGGGAGGAGTGGGACGCCGGTAGCCGAGGACTCTCCGAAGTGAGCGGGCAGGTCTGGTACACGGACGGCTCGGTCACCGAAGAGGGCTCAGGTGCTGGGGTCTCTGGACCTAGAACTAGGCTATCTCTGCCTCTCGGTGAGTACACCACCATTTTCCAGGCGGAAATCTTTGCGATTCTGGCTTGTGTATCTCACATTCTGGAGGAGGGTGGGCCTAGGAGAAGAATAACAATCTTATCCGACAGCCAGGCTGCAATGAAAGCACTAAGTGCATGTAAGATTAGTTCGAGTCTTGTATTGCAATGCAGGGAGGCTCTGGATTGCCTCGCAGCGAGGCATCCGGTATCGTTAATATGGGTACCGGGGCACGCTGGGATAAGGGGCAATGAGACGGCGGACACTCTGGCGAAAACAGGATCAGCCAGCAAGCTCGTTGGTCCTGAGCCAGCTCTAGGAGTAACCGCGCATAAAGCTAGGAGGAAAATGGAGACGTGGGTTGCAAGACAACACTCTCAGAAATGGAGAAGTATCTCTAGACATCTCCGCCAGGCACGAGAGCTCATTGAAGGGCCCAGTGCTAAGGATGGACGCTTCTGCCTATCTCTGGGTAGAGCCAACCTAAGGTTGCTGGTGGGACTGTTGTCTGGCCATAACACGTTAAGGCGGCACCTGCACGTGATGGGGGTGGCTGAGGATCCCTTGTGCGAACGCTGCGGAGTAGAGGAAGAGACCTCGGCGCACGTTTTGTGTTGCTGTGAAGCTCTGAGCTACTATAGGCAGACTATACTGGGGTCCATTACTTTGGACCCTCAGGACGTAAAGGAGCTTGGACTCAAGGCGATTCTCAACTTCGCTAAAAGGGCGAGGCTTGTGATTTAAGTATTGTAGAGGTGCATAAGGGCCCGCTTAAGTGGCCTATGCACTGGCTCCTTATGGTGGCCGGGATGCCTCTAAAATTCAAGATTCATTCATTCATTCCTTGTCCTTGTCATCATTATCATGTACAGGATAACTTTTGCATACAGGCACTTCGCCAACCTCAGCTTCTTTCGGTAAGGTGTATAATAATCCTAATTCTGGCACTTGGAGCCCTTCAATTAAGATTTCTCCCCCTAGAATACAAAAGAGCTTTTACATTTACTGAAAGTAATGGAGATACTACAATGGAGCAAGATAGGCACAACTATGTAGATCATTTACATTGTTTAAATGAATAATAAATCTCATCAACACTTAAATCACAGTAGATCCATACTTTGAGTATCAATATTAAGAAAAAAACTGTCACCTAATAAAAACATTTAACGAATGACTAAAATATTAGTCACCCATATAAGAATTATGACCATACCCATTATTTCCAAGACTTTGTCATCGATTTCATTCAAGCTCTCTGCCAAGCTTGGTCCACCTCCGGTCTGGCTAGCTTCCTTTTTATTTTCTGACTTCTTCCTTTTTGCTCTGGTTTTCATATCTGTCCAGGTCTAGAAAAGGAAAACTGGAGTATTAAAAACCGACCCTCTTCATATACAACAAATATTCTGAGTAACAATCAAACTGACTCGAGTCTCTATTGCCGTGTTTTAACGATAGATCCTAGTATTCTAGTGAATTCGTTATTACAACAGAAGTACCATTCCTAACTATGGATCTATGTCCGTCAATAGCATATTAATTCAATACAAAGTTGCAAATATGTTACATGTACCTTTCTCCATTCAGTCCATTGCTTAGTGGCCCCAGGAATTGCATTTAACTTTTCGCTCAACTCCACCCATAACTTGCGGGCGTCTGCGCTGGTGTATTGGTTTGTTTGTTTTTGAGACACCAATTCCGGGTGGTCTTCCAGGAAATCAATTAGCATAGTTTTTTGTAAAATGGAAATTTGTTTACGAGACATTTCGAAACTCGAGTGACACTGACAAAACGCATCTGACAAGTGACAACCATCATAATGCCAGAAATAGAAACTTTTTTAGTACTGTGGTTATATAACATTGGTGACATTGGAGACAAATATGTTGGTAACACTGGAACAACCACCGTTGCCAATATGTGCCAAGCGTTTTGAACCCGAAGCGTTCGCACAGCAACGTGAATACCAAAACCGAAGGCTTAGCGCTTTGCCGTACGACATGAGGCGCTAAGCGTTTTGAAAACGTATCGCTTTCACGCCAAAGAACGAGAATACCGGTCCTGGGGTGGAGAGGGTAGTGTTGACACTGTTGACAGTTCATTGGGAGAGGAACAAAAGCAGCGCCACCTTCAACTAAGGTTGAAGGTGGCGCTGACACAAGCCACGCCACGTCACTGACAGCTGTCAAATATCAGCTTCTAATTCCGACAAATGACAATAGCGATACCAGCGGCATCCAACAGATTGGTCTCCAACTAAAAACACTGTTCCAATTCATGCCATAAGAGTGAATACCTCCTGCTAGAGATGATCAAAGTTGCGATTTTGTGATCGTAGTTAAAACTGCGATTGCGATTTACCATTCACTGCGAGTGCAACCTGTGATTGCGATTTGAAATTGTGGGACTGTGTTATTTCATTATTTCCCTTCTATAAAAGGTTAATTACATTAAATTGGTCAGATTTAACTGTTATGTGTTAACAACTGTTATCACAAAAAATGAAATAACATTGTATTTGTGTTAGGAGAAATGTTAATACCTTTTTTTTAAATCTTATAATTCCAAATTTGTAGATTTTATTAAAAATGTTAACAAATGTCTCTTATAATTAGAATTTTAATTAGAAGAATGCAAAAACTAAACCAAACAGGTAATATGTTAAAATGCAAACATTTCCTTTCAAGAACTTAACGAGGTTGGTTTATTTGACTTACTACCTATGTTTATATATATATATATATATGATATTTTGGCTGTACACATATTACATTTTGCGAAATTTTCGTCGATTTCGGAAAAAAAATCCATAAATAACTTATTTTCCTCTTTTAAAACATTGTTGAAACTGAATAAAATAATACTGGCTAATCAAACAAAAAAACAACCTATTGATTGAAAATAGAAACCACCAATATCAATCCTAACAATTCGCATTCGCAGCTCGCAACAGTCACAACTCACAACCATATAAAAGCAACGCCATTCGCTCGTTTTTAACCGCCAATCGCCACTCGCATGTGTCACTCCAGATTGCGATTGCCGCGATTGTACGGTTGCTTGCATGCCTACCGGCTCACGCGAACGCGACCCCACCAGATCGCAACTCGCAGTTTGCTACGGAACGGGCTCGCAGGTTGCGATTGTATAATCGCTGCGAGTAAATCGCAGTTCGCGAGTTCCTGCTCATCTCTAGTAGGTACTATGACCTTTGCAAAAATAACCTTACTTTTTCAGCTTTCAGCATGTCATTTTCTTAAAATTTCATTTTAATTAAATAAGGTTCCTATTTATTATGTTATTTGAGCCATATGCATTTTGTTCGGAGTTCGGAGTTGTGAAGTATAACATTGTAAGTACAGAAAGCTGTAATACCTGTTTGTATTTGTAAATACTATAAGACAAACTCCACATCAAAACTTTCTTTTTTAAGGTGATCCAAGTCCCTTAGCCAGGCTTCTGGCAGATCCTGAGGAAGATCAGAGATGCAGCGGTTACTTATTTTAGGAATGTAATATTTGAAGATTGTACCTGTTTGTATCTCCATATCACTCTTTGAAGAGTGGAGCACCACGAAAAGTTCAACAGGTGCCGTTGTCAACCCCTGAGGTCCTGAGAATTATCAGAAGCTCAGAGATTACGTCTGATCTAACCAAAAGGCTCAGCTCTGAAGGATATTTGCAGAACACATCATTGTAAATTTTAATGAAATCAAAGCCAAGTATTGTTATTGAACAATAACATGGGTGCCCTCAGGGAGGCTGTGGTAACAGTTATCTCTTGATGATGATCAGCACATCTGAGAAAAATTCCTGTGGGTACCTGTGTACAATCATTATTGTTAAATTTTTTTCTAATTTTCCATTTATGCAGGTGCCAACAATGGCTGGGGAATGCAAACATTGGACCATAGTGAAGTTAGTACTGATTTGTTTGTAGAAAAATGTATGAGATTTATATAACAAGTATATCTATCTATTTCGGTATTTGCAGTATATGTTTTTCATCCAAACCTTTTCAGATTAGTAAGTAGATATGAGTGATCTCATAACAGCTTGTGTTATTGACGTTGCTATTTTAGCATACAAAAAAGCATTTATTCGTCAAGATGCGCAAAATGTTAATACCACATGCTGTTATCAGATTTCCCATATCCCATCAAATTTCTATATATATATATATCTATATATATTCGTGGTTGTTTAGGCCTCCCACTGTGCCCACCCCGAAATTCCTCCAAATGGCCAGTATCCCTGACTCCCTGGACCAGGTACACAAATCTGCGGGGCCTTGGATGATGTCTAGGGAAACGATCTGCATACACTCGCGACGATTCTGTAGCATTTTGAAGACATTCGCCATAAATTAACAACATATCAACGAGTTCATTATTGGTGTATGAGTGTGCCATTATTATTATTTTTTTTTGAAACGCAATCGATTATACGGTTTCGTTACCTCTATACGCGTGATCCTTTACCGTAGGTTGAAGGTTATATATCGCGGCGGGTCGCGGCTACAGGACGGTATTCAGATATTTTTGATGTTGCAGAGCCTTTATCTCGGTGCCCTTAAGACATTGGTGTATATGGTACTAAGAAAAATTGCTTATGTTTTCAAGATCTACACGTCGTGTAAAGGAAAACCCCAACTTTGCGGACACCCTGTATATATAAAAGTATGGCGATCTCGGATTTATATATAGAGCTGGCAACGTTGCAGCATATTAATTCACAATCTGGCAACAATGTCTCACCCTCAAAAAATGGCCGCTGACAACCTAACAAGTCATCGTGTTGCCATTGAATAGCATGGAATTAAGCTTTCTTCCGTGTATATGTTTTGTGGTTGATCCCACGTGCTTCTTATTTCTGGTAGCTTTTACCGGTGAACTACTGAACTACTGATGAGTGATGATACAATAATCAAATCCAAGCGAATAACCAAAATTTCTGTGTTATAATCAAATTCAAGCGGATAACCAAATGGAAATGGTATTTACCATTTTGGGTTGGTATTTACCAATCCGTTCAAGCGAGTGTAGTTATCAGTTTGGTTATAAGATCCGTGACGTCACGAATCAGCTGTTATATGTCATAGTTATCACCGCAAAATTGTGGTATTTACCCAACTCAAGAGTAGTTTTATATTTCTGGTTATTATTTGAAATGTGACAAGTTAGAATTTTTCCGGGTATTGGATATTGTTATTGTACTTCAGCTTCATTTTTGCGAAAAACGATACAGGCTGACTTCAGTTTCACCATAAAGTGGAGCACCTTGTTAGTTATACTCATTACGGTTGTTGGGGACACTTTAAATCTAGTTCCTATCCTTAACAAAGTATCCTGTGTAGCCATATACAAGAAGAATATTAAAATATGGCCATATAAACTCACTAGATGATATCCACCTGTATACGGTTTTTCTAATTTCTTTTTTCATCATTTCTGCTGAATCAATAAATGTTTTATTTGACATGCGAAAAATTTTAGAGAATTGAAAGTTATCATAGCTACAAAGCCATGGCTCCATCATTAAAAAAAAATCTGTAAAAAACATTTCGCCCATGAATATTATGAAAGGTTTCTTATTTAAACTTTCCATATACAGTTCTAGACGAAAAAGCACCGATTATTAAGTGATAATAAAAATAATCAGAGATTATATACGCGCTTTTCTAAAATAAACAACTTGCAACAAAACCGCGGTTAAAACCAACGCGTTCAAGCGATTCGTGTAACTGACGTCATCAACCCGTGTGTCATCTTGAACCATCTTATAACCGCGGCACATAACACAGAAATTTTGGTTATACGCTTGGATTTGATTTATGTGTCGCGGTTATAATATGGTTCAAGATGACACACGGGTTGATGACGTCATATACACGAATCGCTTGAACGCGTTGGTTTTAACCGCGGTTTTGTTGCAAGTTGTTTATTTTAGAAAAGCGCGTATATAATCTCTGATTATTTTTATTATCACTTCAAAATCGGTGCTTTTTCGTCTACAACTGTATATGGAAAGTTTAAATAAGAAACCTTTCATAATATTCACGGGAGAAATGTTTTTTCAGATTTTTTTTTAATGATGGAACCATGGCTTTGTAGCTATGATAACTTTCAATTCTCTAAATTTTTCCGCATGTCAAAGAAAACATTTATTGATTCAGCAGAAATGATGAAAAAAGAAATTAGCAAAACCGTATACAGGTGGATATCATCTAGTGAGTTTATATGGCCATATTTTAATATTCTTGTGGTATATGGCTACAAATGATACTTTGTTAAGCATAGGAACTACATTTAAAGTGTCCCCAACAACCGTAATGAGTATAACTAATAAGGTGCTCCTCTTTATGGTAAAACTGAAGTCAGCCTGTATCATTTTTCTCAAAAATGAAGCTGAAGTACAATAACAATATCCAATACCCGGCAAAATTCTAACTTGTCACATTTCAAATAATAACCAGAAATATAAAACTACTCTTGAATTGGGTAAATACCACAATTTTGCGGTGATAACTATGACATATAACAGCTGATTCGTGACGTCACGGATCTTATAACCAAACTGATAACTACACTCGCTTGAACGGATTGGTAAATACCAACCCAAAATGGTAAATACCATTTGCATTTGGTTATCCGCTTGAATTTGATTAATCTTACAATCACAAATCTGTGATAATTTTTTAAAGTCTAAGATGGTAGGTATATTTTAACAAACATTACCGTGTTTAGTGGCGTTTATTTAGTTTTCGCTCACTGTCTAAAATCAGGACGTGGTGGAATATAACTTGAAAGTGGTCAACATTCAACAACACGAAATGCTTATTGTCATTTACCTAACCTATATATATATAAATAATTATAACAAAAATGAAAACCATAGATATTTTCTGTTACGTGACTAGGTAAATACCTATTAACTGTGCTTAGTTAATAATAAATACTAAAGACCTCGAATTTTCATGACTACAAATAACCACAACCATGCGACCGGTTATAGCCAGTTGCTGTGCTAATGAAACTGATTATTTGAAATCAAAAAGTTTGTCTGAATCTAATAGTTCAGTATCAAAAAGTTCAAGAAGTCATGGGTATGAACAATTGGTATGTTTTATCATCATATTTCAAACATTCTTTTTAAGTGGTTAACTCTTCATGCAAGTTTCTTAATTTACTGAGATATCATTTTCGCAACTTTCATTCTTTTAAGGATTCTTTCAACACATCACCACGTCAGGATGATGTTTCCTCTGAACATGAATTGTCATCACAAGCACCATCTCTGTCAAAATTGAGCAAAATGGCAATACTCAGAAAAAAGATAGAAGAAAAGAAAGCTAATCAGAAGGAAAACACCACACAATCCAGTTTGCAGATTATACAAAGTTCGTCATCAGGCAAAGGGCAGGTTGTTGGTGAGTGAAAACCTTATCATTAGCTGCATACTCAATTTTTATTGTATGAAATCAGGACATCGCAACAGTTATGGTTGGTTCATGCAAGACTTAAGGTGGGTTCATGAAAGACTTAACGTAACTTAACTTAGGAAAATGAGCATTTAAAGCGCATGCGCAGCCAGGATTGCCAATGTAGCAATGGCGACAATATCAACATTAAACACACTAACAAAATCATATGTATAACGTCAAGGTAGCAGCTGAAAGAGTGTTTTGTGGCTTTTGTGTTACGTGGACTGGCGGACCAGCCTTGACATAGACAAGTGGCCCCTCTCCACACCCTTGCGCCAATGCACTGGTAATTAGTCACAGAACTCGGATAATAGTCCAGGTAATATCGGAACATCTGCTCGGAAAATTCTTCCTATTCCGATTTGTGCATAATCTGATTCAAGGACCTCTTTAAGAACCTGCTTGTGACTAGGCCCAAAATTGCTCCAAAAATTGTTATTAAACCGATTCCAAAAATTGATTTGTTCGCTTTGTTTAAAGAACTTCGCAGTTTTTAGGACATTTTGAATAAAAAATGAGCTTTAGAACTTTTCTCTAGACTTCTCTAGACTTATATATATATACAGGTTTAAGCAACATAAAAACTCAAAATACGTCATTTGCTACCCTAAAAACAATATGAAAAATGAATATTTTGATGTTGCCAAATCTCACACATGCTTCAACCAACCAACAACAAAACCCCCAGAGCATTTTAGGGAGTACAGTTATTGTAAATATTTGCATAGTAATTATGAATTGAATGCATGCTCAATGTATAGTCTATGTGAATGCGAGAGAGATGAATTATCTCTCGTGCACGCTGAATATGCATTGAGTGTCCACTTGCATATCAATTAAATACAAAGATTTATAATAACAGTATCTCCTAAAAGGTATCGCAATTGTGTTAATGGTTATTTATGAAGCATGGCGACATTAACATTTTCGTGTTTTCAGATCATTTTTCGGTATCGCAAAATCAATTTTTTATACTTTCCCATCTCGTACAAAATCAACTTTTGCCAAACATTGTCAAACATCGTTTTGTTTAGGAGTATCAAAAATAACGAATACTTTGATGAAGCGAAAACATTAATTTTTGGAATTCAATTGAAAAAGTTGTTCAAACAATTAGAGACGCAATTGTGTCGGCGATTTCATTTGTTTACATTACGAAATCTGACTGATGACCTTCCCGATATTAAGGCAGTTCGATGATCATAGATGCATAATATATCCTCAATAAAGGAAGTATTTCTTTCATCAGTTTGTCTAGTAATGAATTTCAGGATAATAAAACAATGACTCATCCGCTAATCCACAAATAGCCGAAAATATCACAGGAAACTTGACTGTGTGTAACATTCCAGCCGAGTTCTCATTTCATCGTCCAGAATCAAACCCAACAATACTGTTTCAGAGATTTATGTATCACTTTGGAATATCGTAAAAATAGCACTCCAGGAATGGATAACATCTCATATTTAATGCTTAAGAACCTATCAGTCTCGCCCCTAAAATCACTATTAAACATATGCAATTGCTATTCGGGTATGCAAATTGTAAACCTACGGTTGCAGCCTCATAATTTTGAAATCTCCGTGGAAAAAAGTTCAGCGATATGACTTACGAAAGGTAAACGAATGCGGTTCACACTCACACTTAAAATTAACAATTTAAACATAGAGCTCAAAAGTCATACTAAATATTTAGAGGTCATACTTTATAAAAATTTAAAATGGAGCTCACAGATAGACAATATGATAACTAAAGCTAATAGAGGAATTAAACTTTTAAAATTTTTTGGGAAGGTTTCCTGCGTCAGCGTAGGTGGAGGCTGTCCTCAGGGCGGAGTTCTGTCACCCCTACTGTGGTGCATCGTGGTGAACGAACTTCTCGTTAGGCTCAGCAGTATGAGTATCTGCGTGCAAGCCTATGCTGACGACTTAAGCGTAGTAGTTAGGGGACGTTTCTGTAGAACAGTCTCTGAAATTATGCAGGGCGCTCTGCGCTGTGTGGAATCGTGGTGCAGGGAAGTCGATTTTTCTGTTAATGCTGGAAAGACCGAGCTGATCCTATTCGCCAGGAGAAGAAGGCTAGACGGGCTGGTCATGCCGACCTTTGGGACTAGATTAATTCTATCCCAATCAGTGAAATATCTGGGAATTATCCTGGATTGCAAACTGAACTGGAGAGAGCATGTTGAATACAAGGTTAGCAAGGCTCACAATTCAATGTGGGCCTGTAGACGTGTTGTCGGTGTAAGGTGGGGACTTAAACCCAAAGTGGTATACTGGCTCTACACGACGATAGTACGTCCATCTCTCTTGTACGGCTCTCTGGTCTGGTGGCCTTGCATTAGAACTGAGACAACTAAGGCCAAACTCAATAAAATTCAGCGTTTGGCCTGTATTAGCATTACAAGCGCAGTGCGAACAACGCCATTGAATGCAATGGAAGCTCTGTGGGATCTCCCACCGTTGGATCTGGTGTTCCACGGTGAAGCGAGAGTAGTCGCTCATCGTCTGTGGAGTCAGAGCAGCTTGGCTTTCTTGAATCCTGTCAAGGGGCATACTGCCATCTTAGTCGAATTGCACGTCCTTCCAAGCAGGGGTGATCGTCTTACCCCTAAATATCGCTTCAACCACCAGTTTATTGTGGAGTATCCAACGAGGGAGGAATGGGACGCCGGTAGCCGGAGACTCTCCTTAGTGAGCGGGCAGGTCTGGTACACGGACGGCTCGGTCACCGAAGACGGTTCAGGTGCTGGGGTCTCTGGGCCTAGAACTAGGCTATCTCTGCCTCTCGGTGGATACACCACTATTTTTCGGGCGGAAATCTTTGCGATTCTGGCTTGTATATCTCACATTCTGAAGGAGGGTGGGCCTAGGAGAAGAATAACAATCTTATCCGACAGCCAGGCTGCAATGAAGCACTAAGTGCCTGTAAGAATACTTCGAGTCTTGTATTACAATGCAGGGAGGCTGTGGATTGCCTCGCAGCGAGGCATCCGATATCGTTAATGTGGGTACCGGGGCACGTTGGGATAAGGGGCAATGAGACGGCGGACACTCTGGCGAAGACAGGATCGGCCAGCAAGCTCGTTGGTCCTGAGCCAGCTCTAGGAGTGATCGCTCATGAAGCTAGGAGGAAAATGGAGACTTGGGTTGCAAGACAACACTCTCAGAAATGGAGAAGTATCTCCAGACATCTCCGCCAGGCACGGGAACTCATTGAAGGGCGCAGTGCTATGGATGGACGTTTCTGCTTATCTCTGGATAGAGCCAACCTAAGGTTGCTGGTTGGACTGTTGTCTGGCCATAACACGTTAAGGTGCCACCTACACGTGATGGGGGTGGCTGAGGATTCCTTGTGCGAACGCTGCGGGGTAGAGGAAGAAACCTCGGCGACGTTTTGTGCCGCTGTGAAGCTCTGAGCTACTATAGGCAGACTATAGTGGGGTAAGTTACTTTGGACCCTCAGGACGTCAAGGAGCTTGGACTCTAGGCGATTCTCAACTTCGCTAAAAGGGCGAGGCTTGTGATCTAAGGAATGTAGAGGTGCATAAAGGCCCGCTTAAGCGGCCTATGCACTGGCTCCTTATGGAATGCCCCTAATTTCAAGAGTTATTCATTCATTCATTGGAGGAATAGAGCGCCCACTATCATCATAGAAGCCCTTAAAATTTTTGAGGAATGCATTCCACAAATCCACTCCTCCCATGCTTCGAGTTCGACTGCAATACCCAAACTCGGGCAGTGAAAGTCGTCCCCCGGAAGATGATGATAATAATAAATGGCCTTTATTCGTCACATGATTACAAAATAATTGGCTTAAAAGGAATAGTGACGAAAAGGTAGAGTGTCAGCTTATGCTGTTTTTCAACCAGACCTAAAAAACATTGACACAAACTATAAAGAGAAAAAAAAAGTACCTACATTTAAATAGCACAGTTCACAACATTGACCGCTAACAATAGAAAAGCTTAAAAAGGAAACGATCAATTACCTGTGGATATGCGTCAAGTGAAATTCTAGCCATCCGATTGCTTTAAACTCATCTTTAACCTTTTTTTAAAATTGCTTAGACTATATTCTTTATACTCACTTGGCAAGCAGTTATATAGTTTGGGTGCCCAGTACGAGAAACTACGTGTGAGCAATGCTGTCGAATGCCGCGGGATAAGTAAGTTGCGTTTATTTCTAGAGGATCTTTGATTGTACTGACAGAGGAGGTTTAGCTTTGAATAAAGATTTTCAGTATCTGTATGACGTGTCCCTAAACGCCATCTCATGCCAATTCTTAGCAGTACCCTATAGCTTTTAAACTATAAAATTATGATGTGTTTTTCCAGCCAGCAAAACCAAACCGCAATCATTAAATAATCGAAGATCAAAACCTCAGGCCATAGTACCGGTTCCCATGGAGACTCACCAGAGACCATGTGCTGCTCAAAATGAAAGTCCCAATAGCTCCACTGACTCTTCTTCAGAACGCAAGAATAACATTGCAAATACATTTGGGGACCAGAATCGAAAAGGTTCGAAATATGATGGTGAATCATTGTCTTTAGAAAGCAAGACCACTTCGTCTGTATCTACTAGAAGTGCCGGTAATATGGAAATCACACCATTATGTAAATGCAAGAGGTGCAATCGATGGACTAAAGACCAGGGGTGGGGGGAAGGTGGCAAATATGAGAAATACAAACCAAAGGTAATTATTTTAATATAAAACTATATTACATTAAAGTCTGTGAAACTGATGTCAAAGTAGATGGATGTCATTTAGTAACTTTTGAGGCTGGAATATTTTTTCTGATCACTGCTGATACAAAACCCACACTCCCAGAAGCAAATACTGTACAACCTCGACAAACAAACGTCTACTATAAGGTTCAGTTTTTATTTTTCATAATCTCAGATTTCAGTTGAAAACCTGTAATATGAAAATAGAAATAGCAGAGTTGGTTACTCCTATTTTTTTTATTTTGTTAGGTTAAATTAATTGGAGGGCCAAAACACAAATTTCTGAAAGAAGAAACGGATGATGAGCCTTCAGAAATACTGTCAGTGGATTACAACTCATTGACAAGACTGGAAAAGAAAGCCTTGCCAAAGCTGTTAGTGCATAGGTAAGAATATAAGGATTAATTTCCTTTTTATTATTTTGTGTTTAAATGGAAACTAATTTTAATTTTGAGTATTCAGTACTGACAGTATTTACATGAGTTTACCTCAAAGGTTTTTAGTTATTCGAGAATGTTTATGTTACGTACTTTTTACGATAAAATGTTTGAAGTAATTTAACTTTGTACGAAGGATGTCTTTTAAATTTTGCATATAGAAACATAGTGGGCCGCGCGGATCGAACGTCAGTACTGAATCTTAACCTCACTCTTTAGTAAACTTAAAGTCAAAGTTTCACAACAATACGTGCAGTGTTCTCACTACAGTGAATTTTTAAGTTTCACCAAGTCATTAGAAAAATGGAACTCAACCGAGAACATGTTCGCGCCATAATTTTTATAGACAATTATCGCAACAAGATTGCCTTGCTGAGTTACTGTCTGTTTTGCTGTGCGCAAACTCATCATTGAAGATAGACATGTGACATATCGCGAGATTGAGGCGTCCTTGAAGATCTCAAAGACCTCAATTCAAAAAATTTTACATGAAGAATTATGAGTAAGAAAATTAGTTTCTCGTTGGATACCCCACCTGTTGACTGAAGTGCAGAAAGCAGCCAGGGTTAATTGGTGTCAAAAAACGCTTGACCGTTTCAATTCAGGAAACTCAAAAAATGTGTATAGCATTGTTAGTGGTGATGAATCGTGGATTTACTGTTATCAACCAGGAAATAAACGACAGTCGGCTGTTTGGGTGTTCCAGGGTGAAGAAAAGCCAACAAAAGTAATCCGTTCTCGAAGTGTTTCGAAAAAGATGGTCGCGACATATGTGTCAAAAGCGGGTCATATTGCAACAATTCCTCTTAATGAGCAAAGAACTGTTACGGCGGATTGGTATACCACCATTTGTTTGCCAAAAGTCACCACCGAGCTTCGAAAAATCCACTCCGAAAGAAGAATCATCCTCCACCACAATGCTAGCTCGCACACAGCCCAAAAAACAAGGCAGTATTTAACGGAAGAAAACGTGGAATTATTGGACCATCCTCCATAAAATCCCGATCTAAACGATTTCTTTACTTTCCCGAAAATTAAAAACAGACTGTGTGGTCAAAGGTTCCAGTCACCAGAAGAAGAAGTTGACGCATTCAAAAATGCCGTTTTGGATCTGCCAGCAAACGAGTGGAATAAATGCTTCGAAAATTGGTTCGAGCGCATGCAGATGTGTATTAATCTTCGTGGAAAATACTTCGCAAAACAACAAAGTCATTTAAAACTACATACTGTGTTATTTTATTTCCATATGCAAAACTTAAAAGACATCCCTCGCTAATACTCCCCTGCCAGACTCTCATACTTTCAAAGAGTAGGAAAAATGTATGTAGTTCAAGATGGTGCTAGTGAACGCTGGCATTACAATTGGGGCAGATCAGTGCAATTGGCTTTGGTGGCATGGTGCAGTCCGTCTGAACATACATATGTGCTTTGGTAAAGCGGGGACAGGGATGGAATCAACATTGGATAAGGAACATCTAGCCAGTGTTGCCATTTCAATGTTATGTCATTCCTGTGTTATGTAATATATTAGTTATTCAAGACATTTTTGACATTTTACTGATTATGAAATACAGATTGTGCAAAAGGTTTCAGTAGTGATTTTTCAACCACAGAAAACTTGATTAAAATGAATATTAGAATCAAATATAATGCAATTTTTATTACCTTGAAAATGCTTATTTAGTATTTGTATTCAAGTTGTCATGAACTTTGAGCTTACCAGAAATTCGCTACCTTTTTGTGATCATTACTAGTTACTTCAAGATATCGTCGTATTCGTATGTATTTCATGATGTCAACTAATTAATTTCTTCGAAAGTTTTATAGTGGTCTTCAATTCTCTACATAGTTCAATCATATTAGACGAAATGATAATATGATTACACTAAAACAATTTTATGAATTTACTACGTTTCAATTGATGTGGTATCTTCAATCGTCTTCAGGTCGCTTCGATCGAAATGTCGTGTCGTCAAAAAATTGTATAGACAATATAAAACTTTTGACCTCCAGATTGTCTACAAATTTGAAACAACTTTTGATTTTTTCGTTATCGTAAGCTCATTTTTTCGGTCAACTGTACAGATGTACCTCATGCGGTTGTCACTTTTGAGGGCTGACGTTTTCCTAGACGGTCTTGAAATTGACGGTGTCTTTTTTAAAAGTGTAATTACAAAACAATTGTAAGGATGGCTTTGCTTGTGTTGGGACTGTTCAATCTGTTGTATGGTAGCTGCAAAGCAAATGAACATTCACCTGGAAGTCGATTAATATAAAAAATACTGTCAATGTTAGTTACAATTTGTACTATGAAAAAGTCCACCGAGGTGCCGAAACGTTAATAAAGAGTAATTCATACATATGTGGTTTCATTTAACGGTCAGAAGAACATTGAGTTTTAGTAGAAACTTTCACGTGCATGCTTGTAATCTTGCCAAACATCTCTTTACAGCGAATGTCTGCCGTCACCAGTCAAAGAGTTGGCCAATGTCTACCTACACCCCATGATACTATGACTATGAAGGTAAGCTCACTTCGCGGTCGAATTTCGTACGCCTTTGCACATGACGTCACGCGGAGACCTATGTTTGGCGCGCAGTACGAAATACAGTGTATTCAGATACGATTTAGATGTAGATTTAGACGTTGTGATTTCAATATTTGGGATGTTTGATTTATATTTTGTAGTGTTTTTAATGTCACATGATTGTTTTAGTATTGCATAGTATGCATAGATTTTATTATTTATGTTTTGATGTACTTGTCAATAGAATTTAATGGAGTTTGTCAGTTGGGCCGCAAGTAGAGATCGGGCGGGTCGCGCGTTGGAATATATCATTATAGATAAGTTATGGGTTTTAAAAATGAACAGTAACATGCCACCAGCCGTTTAATAACTAAAATTTGTTGTAACTCTAAATAAAGGGGCTCACTTTATTTATAGAAATAAATAATAATTCATTTGTGCATTTTTTCAGCAGAAAAAAATAGATGACGAATATGTCGCATCTCATGTCTTTATAGTGTTATGTATAAATAGGTAGTCTACTTACATAGTTTTTCAATATTTTTATAGATAGGTGACAATAAAAACCTCATTCATTGGTAAACAGTTTTATTTAATTTATTTTACAATATTCATCGGTATAAATACACAAGTCTTATTAATAGAAAACACAAAAGAATCTCACATTTGGACCATATTGGCAAAAAAGAATATCTCAGATTTTTCCCTAAAATCTTATTTATTGGTAAACAGTTTTATTTAATTCATTTTACAATAGTCATCAGTAAAGATACAAAAGATTCATCAATAGAAAACACAAAAAAGTCCATTTCGAGCACATTGGCAAAAAAAATCCCAGATTTGTCCCTTTAGGCGCCTCAAATTTTATATACTAAGTGACGAACACCCAGTTTAAATGGTTTTATTTTAATAAAATTTTGTATAAGTATTTAATGAAGCATAATAAGTAAATGATAAAAAATTCAAAATGATTGCACTGCTTTAAAGCCCTTTGACCTTTAATAATGTGTGGATGCACCCTGATGTGCTACGCATTCTCCAACGCGCCTAGGCATGCTTCTGATCAGGTGGTCAATGTCCTCCTGTGGTATCTCATTCCAGGCAACCACCAACTCCTCTCGAAGTGCTTCTAGAGTCTGAGGAGGGCGTTGCAAATTGAGCAATCGCCTACCCATCACATCCCACATGTGCTCAATTGGGGATAAGTCGGGAGATCTTGGTGGCCAGGGTAACAATGTGACATCATTATGTTGAAAGAAGTCTATTGTGACTCTTGCAACATGTGGTCGGGCATTATCTTGTTGGATAGTTGGATCTGACAGGGTGTCAAGATAGGGTAAATGAAGGCTGAAATATTCATTTTTAGATCGTTAGTGAATTAAAAAAAAGCAGTATAAAAACCGGAATGTCCAACTGATAAGGCTGAACATTTTTTCACTTGTTATTTACAGTAAGATAAATACATTCACCAACTTTTATTAAAATAAAACCATTTAAACTGGGTGTTCGGATTTATATGTATATCACTTAGTATATAATTCATTGCACAATTTTCAACTTTTTCCTTTTTGCAACCTGGGATTTTTCTTTTATGTGCCTGTTCAAACTCCTAATTTTAAAATACATCTTGCAACGAAAAAAAAGATGCTTGGCATCTGCACTCAAGCTAACTGATGCAGCTAAATCCATCAAAGATTTCAGATAATTTTTGGTTAATTTCAATGTTTCCCCATTAAAAGTGCCGAAAATATGGTCAAGTTCATTATATTTGACCATAAAATCGGCATTTGGTTTGAATAAACCACCCTCAGAGATGTGGTTAACCCATGAAAATGATGATTCACTGTCATCTGGAATAACACCTAAATTTTCTTTTTTCCTTAACCTATATGCTATATAACCAGCCAAATTTTCTAAAGCATCCCATTCTAATTCTTGGAGATGGTCAATGATTGTATCCTCTGGATCGGAATCTTTTTGTACAGGTTCATCACAATTTAGTACATTTAAAACTTCAAACATTTGTCCAGTAACAATTTCAAAGTCATCGACATCATTCTCATACACATTAAGGTCCGAAATACTACTTACACTAGCGATTGCAATATTTGGCACGTCCCCTATGGTAGCAATATTTGCTGATTTGGAAATAATGTCGTCATTTCGTCCCATGATGTAATTGCGGAGTCTATATTTGAACTGCAGAGCAGTGGGGTGATCATATAAGCCTCCAATTGCTCTAATTTGTGAAAAAAAATCTTCTAAGGGATCCTGATTCAAATTATAAGTTAATAGATATTTTATACCGAAATCCTCTTTCATGTCATAAAAAAGCTGCTTCAAAGACTGTATGCTGATTATAATACCTCGTTGAAACGGCAACAACGTGTTAGAGCCGACTTTTCTCAGATTTTGCATTGTTTTTTCCATTGACTCTAAAATTTGATTTTGCTCATCTAAAGCCAACCCATATGCCTTTACACGTTCCCTTGAATCACTCTGAGGTATTCTCGAATTGAATACGTCAAACCAGTCATTGGTGATCTTTATTAATTCTGAACATTCAACCCAATTGTTTTCACTTTTGAAAATACCTAATGATCCCAGCCTTGAAATTGCTTTTGATACTGTGTGTGAAAACAATTTGGTTGCAAATTTAACTTTTTGTCGTTGAAGACCCTTAACTGTTAAGAAATCGGTATTGATTTTATGTGCAATATTTAAGTCTAAATTTTGTGTATTTTGGAGTAAATCTACAATTGGTTTAGAGGTTATAATCTTTCCATTCATAATAAAACCATCATCAAGAAAGTGATTTCGCAATAGTTTAATCATGTGTGGTGCATCTGCAAACACATGTACTCTTTTTTGGCTTACAGGATTTGTGAACCATGTTCTTTCTTCTGTTATATTCAAGGATTTCCATAGTCCCCTGTTACTACCTCCTAAATCGGAATTAATTGCATGAACTGGGTATCCCAGATTTTCTAATTTGGAAATGATTTTAAACAAAAGATCCTTCGTTATTTTCCTGTCATAATCATAAAATATGGGCTGCTTCCACCTTCCACATATTCCACGAGCCATGACAACTTGCACATATTTACTGGGTCCTAAGGTTCTGTCACTCTTCTTATCATATTCATAACAGCTTTAAATTTTCATTTCATCAAAGAGTAGGACACATGCTTTTTCCATCATTGGCAGAGCTGTGTCTTTTATCAGTGTCAGTACTGTGTTAAGTATACCTGAAACAATTGAAGTAGTTATATGTTATTCAATCTTAGTTACATGCATAATATTAATCATAAAAATTAATAAACAATCAACAATGCTGAATGACTAAAAAATGACATTAAACATGGGATGAGAAAGCTCTGAAGAACACTCACACTGATGCAGATCCTAGAATGTTTTCATCAAATTACATATTCAAATATCTATAATTTGTAAAAAGCAACGCTGATGGTTTTACTCTTCATGGAAGCAATCATAGTTGCACAATTGTTAACAAAGTATGTTTTCAAGTATACCTAGACAAATGACCAATACAAATCTATACCTATCTATCTATCTAAATACCTGGTTCAATATTAATTTTACTAGCCCATCTTCTCAAAGTGGATACTGCAGGAAGAGGATAACCCCTTTTTCTGAGTAAGCGGTATGACCTGGGACCACCTGCATATAAGGAAATAGCTGAAGCTACATCTCCAACACTCCACTGGATTTCCTTGGTTGATTTCAGCTTACGAAGTTGCCCTTCAGTGAAAACTTTTGAAATTTTTTCCTTTTCTTCCATTTCTCTTTGAAGTAACTGCTTCAATTTTGCAATTTCAACTTCAAGACTTGTGATGTGTTGATCAACATCACATTTACTAAAATAAAATAGATATTTAGATGATTGTATATATGAGGAGCAGACTTTCAAAAAGCGTTATGCTATGACCCGCATAAATTGAGGAAAGTGGAAAAAACTGCTGTGACAACATGCGTAGCTGCAAATGCTTGATTTTGCTGAATCAAATACCACGAAAATAGATAGGCTTTGATGGTGAAGGAGGATTACCTGGAAAACAAGGAAATTCCATTTTTTGACCAAAAGTAGATTCTATTTGATGCACTTTGTTTGTCCGAAGGTGAAATAAGTCCTTCTGTTTGGGAAACGGTAACTAAAGTCAAAATACCTTTATTCCATTTACCGATGAATACAATCTTATAAAAAATAGGCTTAGAGAAAAATATTCAAACTTTCACTCCACCATCATCCTCGATGCAGTTACATATTTCTTGGGCATTATCTTCATCATTGTCTTCATCACTATTCTCTTGTAGCTCTACAAGGGGCTCTGGAAAAATCGGACGAAGCCATTGCAATTCCTCATCCTCACGCCATCTTTCTGTGGATAGCTGCACCAAAAGGTTATGCAGACTTTTCAACTTTGTCCTTTTTATTTCATGATTCAAAGGCAACCTTGGAAAACTCAAGTTTTCAATCTTCTTGTTTTTTTTTAACAACGTCAAGTACTTGGCGTTGGCAGCGTCATTTCTGTAAAAGGTTTCTGTTTTCACCGCTCGATTGATTCGATTTTCTTAAAAGTGGACAAAGCGGATTTCAGGTCATATATTTTCCAGTCAGTCCCAAGCTTTCGAACCAATCCGACTTGAGAATACAACTCCCAGTATTTTTCTGGTGACTTTAGTGTGCTATGGGACCTAATAAGCTTCTCACATCGTCCAAAAATGCGATCCGCTTGGAAAAACCATTCTTATAGATTGAAGGCCTTTTGGTGCTTCTTTATGTAGCCACATCATTAGCATGTGAACTATGTGACTGTTCTTGTTTTGGCCTCCACATCCATCAGAGAACAACGTCAATTCTTTCAAGTTTTTTGGAAATTCAACCTTTCTGAGAAAATCGTAAAGAGCAGAACCAACTTCTGTGGCACCCCTTCCTGCTTGGTGTTCTAACCATGAGTAGAAAATTGGTCGCTTGCAAGGTATGTCTGTGATACAGAAAACATACAAGGAGAGTTGCTGTGCATAGAATGCCTCTGAAATCGGTACTTTAGGGAGAGGTTGTACCTGCTGAAGATCGAAGCAGAATGCCATGCCGTCTTCAGATTTTTCCTTCATCATTTTAAAAAACTGCTTTGCTCGTAACTTATGTACTCTTAAATTTGTAATAACAGTTTGCTTTTCGCGTTGGCCGTTCACCATAGAGAGCAGATTTAGGTGCCGCGTACAGAATCCACAAACATCATCAATCCTATGTTAAAGTCATTCGAAAAAAGGCGACTAAAGTACTTGTAATTTACTTTATAGCTTTCTTCAACGCTATCATTGTATAGCCTATGTAGTATGGTGATATTGTACTCTGCAGATAAATATATCCTTTTAGATTTCGCTATTCCGTAGTGACTCTCTTGCCCCTTTAAATTTGCGATGAATGCTTTCACTTTTTTGCGCTTTTCCACATTTTTCTGCGAACGTCTGTCACCACCACGATTTTCAGAAATACCCGATCCAGCTTTCATTTGCCTAGAAATATTTTGTATGCGTTTCTGACTAATACCAAAAATTTTTAAAAACATTTTCTGACAAATTCTTTTCTTGCTGGAGCTCCACACATTGTAATGCACAGTAATGTTGCGGTTTCTAGTAAAGCTTTGGTCTGAACGTTTCTTTCTCCTAGGAGTTCCAATTTCAATTAAATGAGACATGAGACAGTTTCGTATCTTGCTTAACCTTGTCTTTTTGTGAATAAAACTTTTGTCGGCATCGCCTTAGATCTTCGAAAGGAATATCCTTAGATGAAAGTTTTTTTATTTCTGCCATGCTTACAGGAGACTTCGAAACCATCAAGGTTGGGATCAGGTCATCGTATCTAGAAATAAAACCGCAAACTATGAGAAAATCCCCCAAATAACATAATTTACTATATCTACCGTATTTCTTTCTGCTGCTGCCGTGATGTTGCACCCCATTTTCGTTTTCTACTGCCTCTGTCTTGATCACCAACAATATGCTCTTCATCCATAATAGTGATCCGACCGATCTAACCCACTCGATATCACTATGCTAACTGAAGCAAGTTACGACAGGAATACAATCTTGAGACACGTGTCCAAACAAAAGGGTTTACTTGCTGCTCATCCAAATATACTGGACAAACAAAAAACGTTCATGCACTAACTAGCTTATTAAAGTCTATTTGTTTGTCCAACGCAGAAAAAAATAACGCTCTTTGAAAGTCTAGACGTATTAACGGGCGTTATATTTATCGTTTAACATCGTTTTGGATGTCCAAGGAGCGGTTGACAAATGGAGATGAACCTATACATTTGATCGCCATCTTTTGGCCAATTTCGTAAAAACTGCACTTAATGCTTTTTGAAAGTCTGCTCCTCATATATTCTCATGATTATATTATTTATTATATAATTTATTCATTTTTTACCTTGTTTGAGTGGATACAGTTATATTTTTCTCAGGAATGTTCTCTTTGTCTCCCTCACTTTCACTTTGTACTTCTGCCATTTCTACCTCTAGTTGTTGATCGATTGATTGTACAAGCTCCCTATTCAACCTTTGTCTTATTCTCCTAGTGCGAGGAGTCTCAGCCTTTGGTGATTTGATCAAATGAACAGAGGGTATTGCATCGCTTTTCAACTTCCATTTATTTTCAGGTAAACCCAACAGTTTCTCCTTTAGACGATAATCGCTTTCCACAAAATGGTTCGAACAAATTCTTGCAGTTTCAGTATTGAATGTGTGTTGCTGATAACACTTCAGAACCCATTCTTTGTGAACTTGTTTGTGTTTAGGAAAGCGGAAGAAACTGCAGGTTGAAAAGTATCTGCTTTTCTTTTTGTTGTTGTTTTTACAACCCACCACTGCACAGTACACCATAGTTCAATGTTAGATTAACTGTTTTTCACAAAATTTTAGCCACACCAGCAGATCACAAACTAATTAAACAAAGCATAAACATTAAACAAGCTAAAGTGCCATATAAAACTGAACTTCCCAGGGGATTTGGGTCTCCGAGTGACGTCACGTGTGCGAGAGAGATAACCTGATCGCATGCGCGTGGGTTTATCTTCTCAGTCATAGTATCATGCCTACACCCTGTTATCTACCAAACCCTCGTCCAGGAAGAATACAAAGTAACCAGCCAAGTTCAGACCTATGCTTGGCCTGCTTTGCTTTGTAACCAACACGTGTTCATGGTAAATGGGCCTCAGACCGGCAAGACGATGGCCTATTTAACGACCATGTGCTCATTTCTGGTAGAAAAAGATGAGCGGTACAGTTTCACCAAGAAATTGAGTGGTGCGCCAATTATAGTGATATTGTGTTCGAATACTAAACGCTATCGAGATGTCAACGATAGAGCGTGGTTCATAATGGGCAGAAATAAGGCTAGGATCGCACTTGTAGAGTATCCCGTCTCTAATGTTAACACTGTAAGTATCATATGTATTGTAGCAATCCTTAGAGCAAACAATGAAAATTCGCAGCATTTTTATAGAATTTGAATATACGATAAAACTATTGTAGCTCAAACTTCCCCTTTGATCATCCCTTTTCAAGGATTGCAAAAAATATATTTCTAAAATTTGTAGGATAAAAATTGTAAGCTTTTAGAAAATTAGTTATACAAACTAGTATTAGAGTATAATAATTCCACCCCGAAGGATTTGTTTTTTGTTTTCAGACACATATTGACATGCTGATAACAATACCTACAATATTTGTGGATCTACTCAAGAAAAGGTCGATCACTCTGAATGGGCTGTGCCATCTAGTGTTTGAAGATGGTGATAACATTTTAAATCACTACTATCCTCTAATTGATATGATTCTAGAAAAGACACATAAAATGCTGAAGAACAGACACCACTCCAAGTTAGTACATACGGTCCAATGATTGAAATGCAATTAAAAAATTACGTTAATTAATCTCTATAAGGCGTATGTTGGGATACATGGGGGTCAATTAACATTCATTTTTTTAGCAACAAAATTATGTGTAAAGTAGAACTAAGATGCCTCAGACATGAAGAGTTCTTAAAATAAAACGTTTCAGGTCACTACAACTCATTCTGTGTGCCGAACATTGGACCAAAAAGATAACTTGTGTTTTACAAAAGTTAGCTGCTATTCCAGTGGTGTGTATTGCCAACTACCTTGAAGCTGCTATGTATGGGAAAATACAATTCTCTATGAGGTTTATGAGATCTTCAGCTAAACTGGAAATGATGAAACGTAAGTTATTAGTTCTGGATACTGTTATTAATTATTTATTTGGATGAATAATTTGCACTATAGGTAATGACTGGTTCACTGATCCGTATTATTCTTTTTAGGGTTATTAAAAGATACTTACAAATTTACAAAATCGGTGATAATATGTAACAACGCCGAACTAGACGTACTTGAGGCAACGTTGATTATGAGTGGCATAGATGTTGCCGTTATATCTGAAAAACTAACTGTTGACGAATCGCATCTTATAGAAGAAAACTGGACAAAAGCGCCAGTAGAGAATTACACTGGTAGGTCGATTCAGCTAACTTTTATTATTATATTTGTGACCTAAAGATATCAGTTGTAGTGATTACGATTTTATACTTTATATGTATTTAAGCATCGGTTTTTGGAACATTCCTTTTTGCTGTTCGGTGTGCTGAGTAACTATGTCTTCAGTGTTTTTGAGAGAAGTTCACGTCCCGTGTGAATTGATCCATTTACGGCAATGTATTTCCGAGACGTGCGTATTTTAACCTTGCGTTGCCGCACCGGCTGTTATACTCAACTAGAAAACGCATTTCACATAGGGTGCTCTATTCGAAACTTGATAAGGGTTGAAGTCATTTTTTTTTCTTATGATTCATCAAACATTCTTGTATTATCTTGAAAGCAGATAAAGTTTCTTATTCATAATGAAATTGGATATTCTATAGAGTATTGAATTTCTATGTCAGTCTGACAACTAAAAATTTATTTACATACTTCTAAAACGGGATTGATCTAATTGTTTAAACTACGGATTCATATCCTATCCGTTACAAGCAGCAGTTAGTGTTAAATAAAGTTTTTTGCTACGTTAACATTTTCAAATCTAGCGCGAACTGTAATCTAATATTGCGAACTAACATAGGCCGTTTGAACCAACTACATAAACATGGTTTTCCTTAATGATATGCGAATATTTAAGGGTGTGAATCTACATGAAAAATTAATGTTAGTTTGCTCTATAAACTATGGCCCAAAAATGTTTCCTTACAAAAAGTCGGGGTGTTGAAGTTTTAGAAAAAAAAAATGGAAATTAATTAATATTTTCATAACCACTTCAGATATTTCTCTGATATTTAGTGCGTAGTGAAAGTTAATAAAGTTGCATATTTTTCAATGTAAAAATAATTTTTAGCTTTAACAGTGGCGTGCGTACGGGTATTGACTTCGATATTTTTTAAGAAAAAAATAGTACGCCAATGGTTTTTTGCCAAATAAAATTATTTTTGAATTCCCCGTTCAATTTACTCGGACTCTAAGTTCTAAGGTAAAGGATAGCTCGTTTATCGCAAATTCAGTCGGAATGGATCGCTTCATGGGGCCGCAACACGCTTACTGTGTGAAACAATTTTATTTAAACAACAGTTCGCTTATTACTGTGAGACGCTTATTTCGCGTTGAATACAATTTACACGACTTAAGTCAGTGTCCGAGTGCTCCTTTGATAAAGAAACGGGTGAAGAAGTTTAAAGAGCCGGGATCTACACTGAATGTGAAGCAAACCGGCGGCCCACGGATTGCTCGGAGCGAGGAGAACATGCACCAAGTTTCCACTTCTGTTAGGATGTTTCCGCACATCATTACGCCGTAATTTGAGATTAGATTTAAAATTACATCCATATAAGTTCCAGATAGTGCATGAACTAAAACCTAATAATTTAAATTTGCGCAAGTCGTATGCCGAAACGATTTTTGCTCGTTTTAGTAATTTTGACAATCTCTTATTTTCTGACGAAGCCCATTTCCACCTCAACGGACATGTGAATAAACAGAATTGCAGGTACTGGAGCAGCGAAAATCCCAAAGCTAAACACGAGAATCCACTTTACTCTCCTAAAGTAACTGTATGGGCTGCAATTTCAGCAAAAGTAATCATTGACCCCTACTTCTTTGAAGATTATCGCGGCCATTCAGTTACTGTTAATTCTGCTGAGTATGTGAAAATGTTACGGGAGTTCTTGGCACCGATGCTACTGGAATTTGCTGGCTATAATCGTAACACGTGGTTTCAACAAGATGGAGCCACGTCACACATCCAACGAGTCCCTGCCGGTGGTCAAATAAATGTTTCCGGAAAAGGTCATTTCCAGACGAGGCGACATCCCATGGCCACCCAGAAGTCCAGATCTATCCCCACCAGACTTTTTTTTATGGGTTTATTTAAAGAGTCGTGTCTACATCAAGTACTCAAGTACTCTCCGTCAACTAAAAGAAAATATCAACGAAGAGATGTCGGCTATCTCGCAGTCTTTATGCCGACGAGTATTCGAAAACTTCGGTACACGTTTCGAAGAGTGCAAAAATCGTAACGGTGGTAATTTAGATGATATAATTTTGAAGAAATGTCAAATATTTTTTCATCCAATTTTTTCAAATGTTAACTAATTCATGGCCCACCCTGAATATGGGTATATATGTGAAATACAGCTAATAGGAATAACACCTCCTCACCCCCTACCCCAAAATTCTAACCCCTTAAAAAAAATTCTGAAAATGATCAGGACCCTCTAAAACACGAAAAAACGAGGCTTAAGCGATTTTTATTCGAAGATTAGCAGACCGACTGACGGAATTGAATGAAATGGTTTCTCGTAATGTACATGTCATATAAAATGCAAAAAACATATCTCATTTTATTTCCTCGGCCAGTGGCGAAGGTTTCAAGTGCCACTTCCCAGTCAGTTACAAAATATCGTCTTCGAATGGTATAATCACAATTCAGATGAAGAATAACCGCCACAGGTGCCTGCTTTCACTTCGCCGACAAACCGCCTGCTACAGAAGTTAGGTCATTCCGTGTCATACAGGTTTTTTGCCGATAACTTGCTTTTAATCGAATATAGAAAATTCCTGTTTGTATATCATTTTGAAGAATGAGCTGCCACATATAAGATATTTCACAGAACTTCAATTTTTTTCCTTTTATTATGTGAATGATTATAACACCCAGATTTTCGAGTTTCCATTTTTGTCAGTCCGGGGCATCTACTTCACACAAACAAATTAAATTAAAGTAATACCTGATTCCTCAAAGCTCGGACAGACAAATGTGCTAAATTCATCGCAGATAAAGTTGTTTCTGTATAACTTGCCATTTTTAGCCAGTATGACAGAAAATGTCGGAAAATGTCTGGTTGTCAGTTCGCGACGCGTGGAATTACTCATATGACTATATTTATTGTTTACAGTTCTGGTTACGACCGATCATCTGCTAAACACAGAGCTAAACGTGACGTCTGCCACAATGTTGATTCACTATTCACTGCCCTCTTCTTGGACAAAATTCACAATTCGTTTCACCTGCTTACTGGAAAGCTACAGGAGTCCTTTGGATCAGAGAGAGGTATAAGCTGTGAATTATTTGATAAATGACCTTTACTCAACATTTTTTCTTTTTCAGTCAAAGATCACAACTCAAAGCATAGTCTTATTGGATGAGAATTGCCAGGAAGAGTTACCGAAGTTCTTCAAGTATATAAAGACCACCGATTTGAAACATTATTTGTGTGATGCACTTAAGCAATATACAGAGGTATGTGTTTTATTTCTTGATACTGTTCAGTTCAGCGTGGCATTGAATTTTCAAGGCTTCGTTTCCAACAAACTTCTGCGACACGTATGATGAAAATGAAGAAGTATTCCAGTATGATTGCTTATGTTTCGAAAGTTGATATTATTTATTTGCTAAAATAGCAATGCAACAGGTCTAAATAAATAAAACAATCACACTAGGCGTTCTCTGTGTAAAAATGTAAATTAAATTAATAATAGAAACTTGTATATATACACACGAGATAAAAGTAAAAACGTTTTTTAAGCCAACATCTTATACCCAAAAAATGACTGACATTCGAGTAAGCTCATATAAACTTTTCTTACGTGATGAATCATATTCCGGAGTATTAAAACATAATCCACATCCGATAGTCTAAACATTTCCCCGAAATAATTGTAAAGTCTGGTTTTATTAAGTTGTTCAAGGGGGTATTTAAAACCTGGACGCATAAAAGCGGGACACCGATTTTTGTGGGAAACTTCTTATTCGACAATAAAGAATGAGAAAACGTGTTTTTTTGGATTTTCAATCGAAAGTGTTGCCAGGAACAAAAAAACTCTAAATAAGATTCTTAGGTATTTATGAGACCTGCAGAATGAGATCACACGTAAAAAGATCCGACTAGCAGTAACAAAGTTGTGGCCGAAAACCGAGGGAAAATGCAGGTTTTGGCACTTGCTGCTAATGCGACGATAATTTCACACAGTTACTTGCAATTCTTCAAATCCGTAGGGTTCAGACTTCTAAGTAACCACAACAAACTCGGAGTCGAATGGACTACTTTCTAATTGTTGATCCCAAAACACCTGTCTTCCGGCCATCACTACTAGTTTGTTGAGCCATATGCAGGGTTGGTTCAAAGGGCATTTTATAGCAAAATACACGTGTTTACCTTGCCGACATAAATCACTAACCATTCCGAAAGATGCAAAAAACGAAGAGCTGCGTTTTTTTTCTTCTAAACAAATCCAAACATTTCGTATTTGCTTGTAATTGAACAGATTAGATACGATATTCGAAAAACATACGTTATTGTATACATTTTAAAACAAAGCAAAACAAAAACTACTTGATCAATCTACTCCAATTTTGATGAGGTACGAATCCTACGAATTTGAGGAATGTCAAATATCTGCGAGAAACCATCGTTGCACTACCAGCAAGTGCCAGAACCTGCGTTTTGTCTCGGTTTTCGGCCATGACTTTGTTGCTATTAGTCCAATCGTTTTACGTGTAGTCTCATTCTGTAGGTCTCATAAATACCTAAGAATCTTATTTGAAGAGTTCTTTGGTTCCTGCCAATACTTTCAATTGAATCCCAAGAAACACGTTTTCTCTTTCTTTGTTTTCGAATAAAAAGTTTTCCCACAAAAATGGGTGTACCCATTTCTTGCGTTCATGTTTAAAATACCCCCTTGAACAACTTGCATCAATAAAACCAGACTTGACAATTATTTCGCAGAGAAGGGGTATTTTCGTCTAATACGATTAGACTACGATCTATACAAACTACTAAGTTTAGAAGTTGAATTTGAACTTGTTTGTTCGACTTCTATGTTTCCGAAAAATTCGTAAGGAATCATTTTTCTATGCAGTACTCTACCCACAAAAATGCATGTTTAATAGCTGAAACAGATGTTCACGTCCATTTTTATGGGATGATGCACGTTATTGTCGGTTTTCTCGCTATTTTTTTTAAACTTGAAGATCGAAAAAACTAATGTAAAGCTTGTGTATGTACAACAATCTGCAATCGAAGTTGCACATACCTCCTTCATCTTCTGGCCTTCCAAAATACTGAACTGCAACGTCGCATTCGCGCCTAAGGTGGTTAAGCAAAAAGTGGAGAAATGATATGTACTATAGATAGAAGAGTAGCGTCACTCCGTCATTAAAACAGTCTTTGGCGAGGTGTCGGAAATTACATTGTGGTATACCAAATCTTACATGCAGTTAAACTGTGATGTCTGTGATATAGCAGCTAGTCAGGAGGAAGGTAAACATCCAGGAATGAAGGTCACCTGAAGGTAGTTGACCGCAGAACACTGGATTGTTTTACGTGTTGCGAAACTAGCAGGAAGTGGGGTGCTAATATTTTGATGCTCCGCTAATGATGTAAAGCCGACTATTGTTATTCTAACATATCTGGAATTTGAGACATCGTCGCTTAAGTTGTACCACCACTAAACGCAAAGAATAACTTATGTATTTGTTTAAAAAAGCCACCGGGATTGCCGGAATGTCATCAGTAGGCACTATTAGCTTATGAGGTTTCTTTTGCGACTAGACAAACATGGAGGATTATAAGATCATTCGATAGCGACTCCAAAGGCCAACCGTTCTTTTATGCTCTCATAAAAAGTTGTTAGTTTTAAGTTACATCATGCTGGAACTCTTTTTATTGAACAACTAAACTTTTGTGATTCATGACTGGGTAGTACCAAAAAGAAGAAAATACGATACAAATTTGTTATTTAGTTTTGCATTCTACGTCAATGATTATTGCCAAACATTTCCAAAGTAGATCGTTCAAGTATATTGCGAGAAAATAGAAGTGCTGTTCAATTTCTTTATTTAATTTTATACTCTTCAGTCTACATCATTCATGTTCCCTGAAAAATAAATACGAACATTCAAAAAACAATGTGATTGTTTTCATCTAAACTGAAAAAGCTTTTAGGATGTAAGCACACAGTTTGGAAAATCTGCTTTCTTTTCTGGTTACTAAGTTTAGCGCTCTTACACTCATTTTCAAACTTGTGACCGAACAATAATCCATTCCAACCTTTGTTAGAATCGGTATAGTAGTTACTGATATTGCACAATGTCAAGGAAACCAGAACGACAGGTGGATTATCGCCAATGGGTGGAACGCTAAAGCACTTTATTTTTCAAGCCTATTTTCCAGAAAATGCTATTTATCATGTATCGTCGAGACAGAAAAAATAATAATATGTATTACCCTGTATAAACTCAATTACTCTATGACATGCCAAACTAAGCATTACTCTGTTGAAATCAATAAAATTAAAAGTAAGGAACCCATTCAGGTGAACCATCCGCCTGTAACCTTTCTTCCCTTTATTTGGATATCTTGGTGGCCTCCAGGCAGTAAATCAAAAACAAAAAAAAACCTATTGTATACCGGCATGTGTGTGGGTGTATCTATCCAGTTGAAGGGTGGATGTAAAGCTGGACATACACGCTAATAATATACTTCGCAGCCTGGTTAACTAACTATTATGGATATTCAGATTCATGATTCCGCTACAATAAGATCTGTATGAATATTTTGATGAACAAATCATAATTGACTGTCTCTACCCACACTCCGCCGATACATGACGCGAATTCGTACGTAAAATCTCCCAACGTTTGAGAAGCTTCATTCCATCCAGGGCCTTTGATTTCTTACCTTTCGTCTTTCATTCATACGCAATTGGTCTATAAAATGCTCAAGTTGATGATCCCTTTATTACCAACGGCAGATAATGATATATCAATTTTCCTATTTTTAAATCTTCAGAACACAACACTTAAAAATACGAAATACACACACTCCTTAAAGTGTTTTGAAGGGTGCTCCATGTAAAATTTCTCTAAGAATTCTAGTTGGTACGCTCAAAACTCGTATTGTTATTGTAACCTGTTTATCGCATGACATTTCGGCAAACATTACCGTGTATGTTTAGCTTTTGCTTAGAGTGATCCATCAGACGGCTGTAAAGGAGATCAAAGAAATAAACCGGCAATAAATTATACTCGATAAAAGAGGGACGCTCTACCTAAAGACAGGTCGCTGGACGGCGTGTTTCTGCTCCCCTGATTACTCATTGCCGACGGTCTCTTTAATAACTGGTCAGTCAGATTCCCAAACAGATTGAGAGATGAATTTTTCTATGGTAGGTCAAATATATTTGGTATTCAATAGACAAGCCAAAAATTCAAATAATTATGGAGTATATATATATATATATATATATATATATATACAGGTATATATATATATATATACACCTAAGGAAAAACCATTGTTATACATGGGAAATCATTTCTTGGCAACAGCGCATCGGCTCGTCTACTTTCATCGCTATTCGTACATATTTCCTACCGTTAACCGCAGACCTGTATCACGAATCAGAATAATAGGCAGATACGCTGTGTTGTCAATTTGAGCAGAGCTTCCCGAATTGTGGGGAATTTAGAGTTAAGTGTTGATTCATTCAAGCTTTTAATCAGCATGGCCTAGACGTTAGAACTTCATAAAGATAACATTGAAACTGAATGCTGCTGGAGTATAGTGTTTTGAATATTCAAAGCGGAGCGGGACACTATACTCGTTCAATGGGTCATCAAGCCACAGTCTTTTCAACAAAGAAATTATTTTACGAAAATGCGTTATATTTTTACGATTTTGTCGTCACCAAATCTCTGTTTCTCAAAATGTACGTCTATTGTAGAATTTTCAGCTAACTAAGCAAGAAACGTGATCTAGTATTTACTCAACATTACGGATTTCTCGAAATACATTAAAAAATGTGACCTAGATACCTAACTGCCCCAAGCTCTTTAAATATAACACCTTAAACCAGGGTTACCAGGTGCTCAGTCACGTTGATTGTCATGTTGTACTGCGCAAGTCAGCAAACAATCTGGCGTAATAAACGTCAGGTATTGCCAGATTCCCGAATACCGGGCACCATAGTAACCGTTATAGTTGTCCTTCAAAGATGTCAAATCACCCCTATGGCGCAAATTCGCCACACCAGGCAACTGTGCTATAAACAAACCCTGTTTATCACTACTATTTGATAGTCACATGGTAGTTGTAGCCCTATCTAGCGGTCCATGATTTCTCTCAATACTGTTGTATCTCTACTGGCAACAAGAATAGGGATTACAAAATCGTTTATACAACAATATACAAACATGAAAAATATGATTTGAACCATGAAACATTAATACAATTTTAATAG